TAATTATTATTATTTCATTTGAATTATAAGCAATATAAAAATAACAATATAGACCATCAATGTTAATATTAATATTTAACTCTTTTGGTGTCATTACTTTGGTTTTGCTGGTGTCGATATTCATATCATTTTCCTTAAAGATTTCATTCCATATGTCCAGATTATGTTGTAGACTTTTTGCACTTGGTGCCATTGGCACTACATCGTCAGCAAATATTGCTTCAGATATTTTCACTTTTATATCCTACAAAAATTTTTTGTACCTTTTGTGCGCACTTCTTAATGTTATTATTGGGCTTAATGCACCCCCTTGTCTTAATCCCACTTGAGTCGTGAATCCTTCCTATCTCATAGGAAGCATTTATTACATAGTTTACATTAACTTCATATATTCTTATTGTCTACCCCTTTCTCTTTTAGACCCCGCATACTCTTCGTCATGGAACTCCGTCAAATGCCTTTTCCGGACCCTAAGTGTATATTTTATTTATAGTATCTCTATGTATACAGGATATTCCGTTGTGTCAGAGTAGTAACCAACGTTTTTTTTTAATGAAAGGCTATGAATATTTTTAAAAATTCTAATTATCCTCTTAATTTTGAGTATTTCTTTTTTCATTACGTAGCATACAAAATTTTGGGAAGTTTTTGAGAAAAAATGAACTTTTTAATTTTTTTGCGGAAAACAGGTAGAATTTTTTTTTATTACACTTGAAAACTAAAATTGGGAATGTTTAATTAATGTTTCGACCTATCGATGACGCAAATATATTATACAGGGCAGTCACAAAGGACCGGTTTTTATAATAAAAAAAACTGTATTTAGCAAGTAAATAAAATTTATTACCAGTTACAAAAAAATTTCTACATAACCGCCATGTTTGGCAATACAAATTGCATATATGGTTATATTTTTAACCGCGTCTGTTGCATCAAGTCTTTTTACCTCTTAAACACTATTACCTGTTTGTATGCACTTCGTTTTTATGCAGCCCCGTAAAAAAGTCCGCGGGTGTCAAGTCAGGGCTCCTCGCTAGCCATTCGGTGGTCCAGTACCGACCAATCCAAAATAGAAAAAGTTGATTTAAACAACTTTAAATAGGCACTACGGTATGATATGGCGCACTATCTTGTTGAAAAACAATAAGCATTTTTTTTTAATTAAAAATCGCATTTACAAGGAAAAATTCATTCTCGAAAACTGTTTCTGCGATAAACAGAATTCTTGCAAGAAATGTTTCGCGAGATCCAGCGCTATAAACTTTGATAATTTTCAAATATGTACAAGGTGTATTCGCAAAAAACTGAAAATTGAGTTCCCCTTATAATGATAATTGACTATTAGCCGCTTAAACTTTTGTATTTAAGGTTTTCACCTATGTTATATGGTGTTCTGGATATTCTGTGCCATATTAAGTAATAGGTGTCTAAATTTTGCAGCTATCGACTTCAAATTAAAACGCGAAAGATCCAGTAAATTTTATTTTAGTGGTCTTTTCGATTATAGACAAGGTTTTTTTAAGTATGGACAAAATTCTAAAAACCCCTGAAAGTTATTCTTTTCGGAAGTAAATTATCAGTAGTAAATTAAAATTCGTGAAAAATTTGGATTTTTGATTTATACAGCCCTGTAGACCACATCCAAGGCAACAATTTTCGTATTTACGGTTTTCATCTATCATACCCGCTTCCCGACATATTTGATAAAATCGATCGCTATATCTCGCGCTCAATGTAGACGCGATGACGTCATTTACTATTACGACTAAATGCACGCTTTCAGAAAAGAAATATTTTCTCCCTAATCGTTTATTCTATTGAAATCATATACCAGGAAGCGTGGGAGATACAAGGCTTTAACTTTTACTTCGGACATTTTTCGGATTATGTACAGGGTGTGTCTGTAATGTGCAAAAAAAATTAAGGACACTGAAAATTGGAGTTTTTGTGGGCCAAATATTAGCCGTAACCGAAAATTTTGTATAAAAAGAGAAGAACAGTTATAATTTGTTTTAAAAGAATGAAATGTTTTTTTTTAATTTCCTTTTGAAGAAGTTGTAATTTAGTTTGAAGTCTAAATATAGACTGTTTGAGACCAGATATTATTTTGCATGTAATTATGAATTTAGTTTTCGCAAATATTCCATCAGTCAAAAAGTCTTGTAACCACTCGTCATAATTCTAAATAGGTTATTTCCTTTTCCTTTAAAAATGCATCGGATAAAACAAATCCACATGTCTATTTAATACGTTGCAGCTTCATAAGCATCTAACAATAAATGAAGAAACTAATGTCATTTAGAAGAACGATAATACATTTTTCAAATATAATAACACAAAAATGAAAAGGGAACTTCTAATCGAGTCTCCAAACATGACGTTTACAGACTTCTTCTTTGTTGATAATAGACTGTTAATATCTACAGGGCGCTCAAAAATGAGCTAAAAATAAATTTTCTGTCAGAAGACTTGATTTTTTTAAATAAACAATATTTTATAATTTGGACCTATTGTTTTGGTTGCCTGTTGCAAACGATTGCATTTTTCAACTGGAAATAATTTTTTTTTAAATATTCCAGCCGTTGTATGAAAAAAAATTGTGGGTTGTATATAAGTCAATGTTTCTGTCACAATTAACTGTCTCCAAGAAAGTAATTAATGTTTAATAATTTGGTCGGTCAATTCTTTAAGACTGCTATGCAGTTACTTCGGATTAAAGTTTGGTAGCTTTTAATGTCTATATACCGGGGTAAGTCAAAATGGGCCTGAAAATGCGATATTTTGAATTTTGTACCTCAAAAACTAAAAAGGTATCTTTACTTTTATTAGTTTAAAGTAGTACCATCGTGAAAACCGAAACTTTTTATCCATAAAAATAACAGAGATACCTCGCAAAAGTGTCCGCAAGAGCGTCGCCCGTACTTCAATGACCATCGCAATAACCAGATCTGAAAAAACACATTGAACGTCTTTTGATTGTCTTGGATGCATTTCAATGTTAAAAATCAACAGGAAGTCGTTAGTATCACTGAATCGGAGTGGTCGCCAATTCCTGCAGAAAGTTTACAAAAATTGGTTGATTCTACTGCTAGAAAGTGTCAGTCTGTGCTACGCAATACTGAAAATAATAAAACAAATGTTTGTGGAATATTCTTCCATGGAATATGAAAAACTTGTAGACAGAGAAATGCTTATGATATTATAAAGTTTCCATACTTTTTCCACTACTATATATTTTACATAACGCATTACAATTATTGCGAAAAATTATGCCGAAAAGAAATATTTAGGAAATATTATGCAATACGGCGTAATAGAAGGCCAATATTTGGATAATGCGAGGAAATACGAGGAAACATTTGGGTAATAGTAGGAAATACGGGTAAATATTGGAAATATTTCCAAAATATGCGATTACTAAGTCATGTCGAGCTAAAACATCAATATAATTTCCATTAAAACAGAGTTAAATCTTCTATAAAAACCGCTAGGCAAGACTATATCAGTAAAATTGAATATAAGAGAGAATAATCCCTGCAATAAATTGTAAAGAAAAAAAGAAATCTCCCGGATGTGAAATATATAAAAAAGTGAATATCTGAAGTAGGTGACGGATCAAATATCACCAGTATTTACATATTTAATTAATAACGGTTTTCGTGATCAGTGCTTTGCTGACTGTCTCAAGATTGGTATAATTAAGCCCATATACACAGGAGGAGACAAAACAAAAATTTCTAAATATCGTTCCATTTCGCTGTTATAATTGAAAAAATAATAAAAATACGAATAGTGAACTTTCTACACAATTTTCGAATCGTCAGTACGAATTAAGGGAGAAAAATTCGACTCGGGACGATTGGCGATACATTAGATTCCAAACAGCCTAGTATATCCCTGTTTTTAGGCCTCTTCAAAGCATTTGACACCGAATTTCACTCTAGACTTTTGTATAAGAGATACATTTACAATCTAATAAAAAGTTATCTCGCTAACAGAAGTCAGTAGAGGGGTCTATCAGCGGTGTGGAGATGGTTACCTGCAGTATACCGCAGGGCACTGTAATTGGGCCGCTGTTATTATTTGTTTATATAAATGATTTAATGACAATATATTCCCATGCAAAAATCATAAATTTTACTGAGGATATTGCAGTTAACTCTGATTTTTGATAAAACTCCATACTTACCATTTACGCCATAGAGCAACAATTGGTCCGCTAAAGATAGACGACAACACAGAGATTTTAGAAGCCGAATCCGTAAAGTATCCGGGAATGGTTATTGACCGTTATCTCAAATGGGATTTTCTAACCCCTTCACAACTTAAAAGCTGATATATTGCACTCGTTCAATCACACATGTCTTACGGAATTCTTCTTGCGACAGCTTTACTGTCTTATATTACTGAGGGATGTATACAAAAAATTACGAGACTAAGGGGAAGGTCGACTTATATCACGACTAAAAAAATTAAGATAGCTGGTGTGATAGTGGCAGAAAAACTTTCAAAGATCTGATGAACTTAAAATATTTAAGATAACTTTGCGCTTCTAGTTAATGCGCATATCTATTGATCTTGAAAACAATCTTCGTTTTCTTCGCATGTTTAAATAGTTTAAATCATGGTGTATTAGCTGATTATGATTTCCAAAAAAATTATACTCCTTAAATATTCGAAAACTCCACTTACAACCATATGCTTTTGTTGATTTTATTATTATTATTAATACTTATTTAAATTTGTTCAAAAGTCACTGTTCAAGTAGCCATTTTTTATTAAAACCATAATTTGAACAAAGGGCTGTAGTGTAACTGGTTATTAATGTATTCATATATACGTCTTTGCGTATTTTTTTAACGGAATAGGCAAAAAAATGGAAGTGCGAATGTTGCTAATTGCCGCAATATTTAGACATAATGTGCTTCGCGTTGGTTATAAAAAATAAGCAACCAGTCACGCGCGATCGCGAAAAATGTTTAAATAGATCAAATTCTTACCCTCTTAACTTGAAAGTTGTCCGGTTTGAGCGTCTCCTGGATCTCCTGATCGGGCCTGGTGGGCGCCTGCACCACCGAATTCCGGAAATTGTCCAAAACCCCTTTGAACGTAAATTTTTTCATGTCTGCGACGTACTACGGCTGCGAAAGTCGACGACACCCGGCATCACAGTTGCCTTGGCGGCATAATTCGTCGCTGATCTGAAATCCCACTGGATCCCCTCAGACCATTTTGCTGCCACAATGGAAAACCTGTCTGCTGTTATCGAGCGCAGATCGCAATCGCGTCCCGAACTGCTGCACCGGACGATTTTCCGATGTACAGTATCCCGCCGGAAAATCCGGGATACGGCAAAATGTGGCAGAGATCCAATCACCGACGTACGTCGCGCAGCTCGATCTCGCTCGGAAATGTCACCGAAAAGGGCCAACGATACGAACCAATTCGACCCGACTCGGTCCTTCAAGAGGCAATTCTGCGCCAACGATTGGACGTCGAGGACGCAAGTGCGCTTCCGCGTGAAAATAACGCGAAAATTCGTAGGATTTTTCACGAAAATTCGCGAAACAACAGCACTACACGAAAATCGCAATTTCTTGGGTACGGCACGGGCAAAAAACAAATGTCAGATCAATAACGCGAGGCTGAAAACACACATGTTGCTCGTTCGCGCTCCCGATCGCAAAATACCACGTTCCATTTGTCTCTCTCCGTCGCGTTTGGGTCGGGGACGACGTAGGACGCGTACGACAAACGCATGGACAGCCCACTTTCCGCCATCAGCTGATTACACTACAGCAGTTCTAACCTATATTAATTGTTATCTCGCGACCGAGGTATTAAGCGAATTTTTATGTGGCACATTGTTTAACGCTGGTGATAAAAATGGTCGCGAGTGTTTTCGCTAGGGGACTTACCTTGATTTACTGTCAGAAAAGGCGCGAATTTGTAAAATTCGGGTAAGTACGAAAGTCTTCTTTTTGACATACTGGTTTCACATATGTTTATAAGCAGGGTGACATTTCTTGTATGTAATGTAATGTAGCTTTTTCAAACTAGTACACATTTTGTTTTCGAAAAAACAAACATTTTTTGTTTTAAACGTACGTTAAAGGGTAAAAAATTGACGGGTTATATACTTGCAAATTGTGTTACTTTCGCATTATACATTTATGTAGTAGAAAATCCAAGAACAAATAGATCTCCGGTAAGTACGTGATTTTTAACAGATTGTTTGCTTGATAATGATTCTCCTTGAACGGGTTTGCACGCGTGCACGCACTCGTTGTGCTCCTGATAAGGGATCGCGTCGTTTTTCAGCAAATATGGGGGTCTCTTCACCGCCGGTCTGGCCTTATTTTCATCAAAAAATCCAATCGACACAAAAGGTTTCATGGCTTTACCAATAACCGATCTAGACCAGCTCTCGGGACGCTCAGAAGACATGAAAACGAAGATGGAGCTTATGATAATGCGAGTGCAAAGTGAAGTATGCAAAGCACTGGAAAAGGAGGAAGAAGGGAAGACGTTTTTAGTGGAGAGATGGGCAAGGAAAGAAGGCGGTGGGGGGGTTACTTGTGTAATGCAGGGAGGAAGGGTGAGGTACATCAAAGGTTCGCCATTGTTTCCAATGATCTAAGTTTTTTTATAGGTATTTGAGAAGGCCGGAGTGAACATTTCGGTGGTGTCGGGCATGTTGCCGGCCCCCGCCGTAGCCCAGATGCGAGCGAGAGGTAAGAACCTTGAACAGGGCAAAAATTTACCTTTCTTCGCAGCTGGTATCAGTGCAGTCATCCATCCCGTTAATCCCATGGTACCTACCATACATTTTAATTACAGGTATTTTGAGGTAAGCCAATCTGAATAAATGCCTTATTTGGGTTGGGGGAAAGGTGGTAGAAATTTGATAATTACAATTATGAGGAGTTCAAATGACTTATACATGTTTTTGTTAGGTTGAAAGTGCTGGCACCACGCAGTGGTGGTTTGGGGGCGGTACCGATCTCACCCCCTACTACCTAAACAAAGCGGATGCGGTACACTTCCACACAACCTTAAAAGAGACTTGCGACAAGCACGACAAGACTTACTACCCTAGGTTCAAAAAGTGGTGTGATGATTACTTCAACATACCACACAGGGGGGAACGGAGAGGAGTCGGGGGGATATTTTTCGACGATTTAGACACCCCCGATCAGGAGGAGTGCTTCAAATTCGTTACCGATTGCGCCGACTCCGTATTGCCTTCTTACGTCCCATTGGTGCAAAGACACAAAACGGCTAGTTATACCAAAGTAGAACGAGAATGGCAACTTCTAAGACGGGGCAGGTATGTGGAGTTCAATTTGATCTATGACAGAGGAACAAAGTTTGGACTGTACACACCCGGTGCCCGATACGAGAGCATTTTAATGTCTTTACCGTTATACGCGGTAAGACACTGTGTTGTTGTTATTGTCGTCGTCACTAACCAGGACGTTTCAGAAGTGGGAATACATGCATCATCCAGTAAAAGGATCTCCAGAAGACACTTTGCTGGAAGTTTTGAGGAACCCTCAGGAATGGGTCGGTGTTCCCGCTCCAGCAGAAGAAACAATCAGGAACGAATTGTAAATAGTTTTTATTAAAACAATTGTTGTGTTTTAAATGGAGTTGGTCCTTCATCAAGCGGGCGAAATTTCCGTTCATTTGAACCATTTTTGTATGCATCATAAAAAAATCCCCAAATATATTTTAATTATGTTTATTTAAAAACAAATCAAAACTATGTACAAAGGTGAAACGAGCCACTTTTATTCTTTAGACTTCAGAAGCATCAGTGCTAGTTCTTCGGTTTCATTCACATCGAGCACTTTACTTAATTCTTTTATCTTCTTTACTTTCTTACTTTTAGGGCCAGATTTAGATTCTGTATTTTTTCTCTTAGTCCTAAAATATGACACTTTTAGATTTCATTCACTACGAAAGAGATTACTTACATTTTATTTCTTTTCTCATCTGAACTCTGATTGATGTCTTCTTCCATACTAGGTTCCAACTCTACATGGTCATTAAGAGACTCATTATCAGAGGCTTGATTGCCATATACTTTATCCAGATCAGGTAACCACGACAGATCAGGTTGGTGCTCGTCTTCGCTCTCTTCAAACTCTTCTTCTTCCTTTTTGTTGGTATTTTTCAATTTTTTCTTCTTCTCCTTGTGCTTTACTTTGACCTTATCCTGATGCACGCGTCGGTCGGTCTTGTCATGTTCCTTCAACGCCAATAGCAGCTGATCTACCGCTAATACAAATATTTTTCAATTGATTGGAAAGCCATGAAGAAGTGAAGCCCCCCCCTCATTCACTTACCTAACCCTAGTTGTGCCTCGATACCATTTTCGGGCGTGGACTTATTTACGCCTACATTTTCACCAACTGGCTCTCCGTCATCACCAAAGACAATTTTTTTATTGACCGCAATCTTCTGCTTTAAAACTTTCTTGGCAATAGCGGCCTTTGTGAGAGGTTTATCTTTTTTGGACCTAGGCATGGCGGCTTCTACCATCTGCTCCTGGGTTAGTGGATCCACTGTCTTATTTTCAGCCACTATTTCTAGAGTGCCATCTTCAACAAAGAGACAGTCGGATGCAACATTTCCATGTTTCTCAAGTCTTAGCTCCTTCTCATCATCTGAATTTCCACTTTGTTCGGATAACTCGACATTAGCACAATCAGACTGCTGGTTCATCTCTTCTTCTTTGAAGTATATCTTGTTATTGCCCATACCTGGGGTGCTAACAGCTTCCTTCCCATTCTGGCCATTCTTTTTGTTCATCTTTTCCAAAAACCTGATGCGGGGAGCCACTTTGAGGCCCAAACTATGGGCGAACTTTTCCAGATCCAACTTCTGCAGTTGAAACACGTCTTTCAGTTTCATGAAGCACATTGCCCGTGCATAGTGGTGGCAAGCCCTTTGCGCAGTAGCTCTCAATTCAGCATCATTCGATAAAAAGGATTCCATTTTCCTCACGGGATCTACTAGCTTGGTGACATCCATCCTACCGAACAAAAAATTCTAATGTGATCTTCATAGGTCTTTATCCCGAAATGTTTACTCACTCCTTCTTTTCCAATGAAATTCCCTTCTCACTAAGGTATTCCAACATTTTCAATTCTGTAGGCATAAGAAGAAGCAAACTTTTACCGCCTTTATAGTACCTTGCAGTTCTGCCAACCCTTTAAAAGAAATTAATTTAGAAAAAACAATTCCTGAAAAAATCATGTCAATATTTGCCTGTGAATGTAAGTCTCCACATCCTCTGGACAATCAGCTTGCACCACCCAATGGACTTCTGGAAAATCAAGGCCACGGGATGCCAAATCCGTGGCAAACATGACTGCCGATTTTTTACGACAGAAATCCTCATATATGGCCATTCGGCGTAACTGATGCAAAGTCCCATACAGTGCGCTAAGACTCACGCCCGGCCTTAACCTAAAACTGAGTTTAAGCAAAACCAAAACTACTCTAAAATCCCTAAACTTACTTGGAGAATATCTCAAAGAAGTATTTCACCTCTTTACAGGTGGAGAAAAAAATAATGATCTTCATTTTCAAGTGTGCTTTGATAAAGCTCCAAACAAAAGAGATCTTTTCATGAAGTTCACAGACCATGTAACTTTGTGCCAATTCCTTTGGTGTCGATGCCTCGTGGACGCTAACATACGAGGGGTCCTTTAAACTCAAACGGGCAAGATCTTTCACGGATTTTGTTTGTGTGGCAGAAAATAGCAGAGTCTGCCTCTTTAATGGCAAATTTGCAATAATTGCATTCATTGTTGCTTTAAAACCCATATCCAAGCACCTATCTGCCTCGTCCAATACCAAAATTTGCATTTTGACACAGTCAAACAAGGGATTTTCATCCATATGCTGAAGAAGTCTCCCAGGGGTGCAAATCACGATGTTGCACTGGTCCATACGTTTTTGTTCAAATTTCAGGTCTTTTCCCCCGATGATAAGTCCAGCCGAGAAATCATGATGCTGTCCAATCTTCCGCAATGTCTCAAAGATTTGGTAAGCCAGTTCCCGGGTTGGAGTAATCACAACAGCACCCACACCATCCAGCCTTGTCCACTGTTTAATAAATAACACTTCCAAAATAGGTATCAGAAAAGCCAATGTCTTTCCAGAGCCAGTTTGGGCAGCACCAAGAATATCTTTGCCCTGTAGTGCCAAACTAATGGATTCCCTTTGAATATCTGTGAGCTTAAAGTATTTACATTCCTTCAGACCCTTTAATGTTTTTTGACTTAGCGGCAACTCCGAGAACTTGGTGATTTTGGTGGTGTCGATCTAGAGATTAGTTGAATCTGTATAGGCATGCAGTGCTAATATAGCGAATTTACACTTACAGTTTGGTATTTGGACTCCAGCTGTTCTATTAGTAACTTCTCTGACCCTTTGGGCTTTTTTGAAAACGCCTTCACTTTCGCTTTCTTTTTTGGTTTAAATTTTTCTTCTATTTTTCCCATGACCCGTTCCTTATTTTAAATTGCTGCCCGCAGAAATTAACAAAATCGCCAAAAACTCCCTAAAATAGTTTATGGTCAAAAATTCTTCTTCTTTCTATAATTGATAATAACATCACAATAAGAGGATAACCCGGCCTTGGTGAGGTAATATTGCATCTTAAAATTTAATTTTATATTACTTAATCCTAATAACAGTTTTGATATAAAAAACATATAGTATACAAAAACATGTTCTTCACATGATTCATAGAAAAAATTAAATAAAATTTACATATACGTACCTATTATTTGTTATTTGTACTATATTTTGAACATTAAAATAATATAAAGCAATGAAAAGGTCTTTTTTCTTTTGCCTAAATTTGGGATTTTGCACCCTATGCAGACAGATATATTTTGCACAGCCTTGTGATGCAATAAGCGTCGGTTAAAAGTTACCATTTTCCGAGAAGATTGGCGGGATAATTCTTACAATGTGCATCAATAGATGTAAAAAGAAGAAGAACCAACAATGGGGATTTAATAAATTTATATTTGTTTTTTGGAAATTGTTGAAAGTTTACCTTTTAGATCGTCACTTTTAATTAATTTAATTTTATGGCGTTATCTGTGACAAATATATTTATTTAATAGTTATTTATTTAATATCACATTTAAAAGTTCTTGTGGATTTGGCTGTTTTGGCACTCCATAAACTGTCAGGTTGAGTTGTTCCAAAGCTGCTTTAGTAGTTTGTCCTATTGCAATAAACTGAAATTTTTTTTTTTGACATAGTAGTCATAATATTTAAATTAAACCACCTTAATTGCTCCAAAATTGTCCTTAAACATCTCGATAAATGAAATGGTGGTTGAAACACCGGAAGGGCTAAAGAAAACTATGTATTCTGGAATGCATTTAAACCCATCAGTAGCATTAAAAAGTTCTGGTTCAATGTTTGGATTCGGTAAAGTATCATATATTTCTATTGTATCCAAGACCAATCCCGCCTTTTGTAGTTCTAAGGTCAGTGTGTCGGTTGCTAGGTTACCATGGGGTAATAAAAATAGGTTTTTATATTGTGATTTTTCTACAAGGAAAATATGTTTTTTTTTTCAGTTAGTTATGTATAGGAGCAGCCTTACCCTTTAATATAACCTCTGTTAATTTTATGGCACTGCCGGAGTCTTTTCCTTTGCAATCCAACCCAAGTTGTTCAAGGGCTATCTTCCAAGTGGTTTCACCAACCGCAAAATTATGTTTACCTTTCCATTTATCGAGCACATTATTATAGGAAGCCTGTTGCAATGCAGAAACGCACCTGGGACTTGACAAGAGCACACCCTCGTAATTTTCGGGTGCCTTTAATTTTTCACTTAGCGCGCTGATATTTTTGAATTGAAAAGTTAAAGTATTTACACACTCAACATTGAAATTATTCTGGTGTAGTAATTTTTTGTACTTGTCCTCGCCGTCCGAACTCGTCGATTTTAAAAGCAACACGCAGTTTTTGGCGGTCATATTGCTTTTTGCATATTGATAAAATTACAAATTTGCATTAAGCACATAACCACCTGTATTGTGAAATTATGTAACTATCGGAAAAATATGTAAATAAATTTTGTCTCTGTCAAAAAAAGCACCGAGTATAACCTTTTTCTATTCTATGGTGCCCCTTGACTAGACGAGACGTTTCTGTGTTCATAACTTACCAAATTCTCACTTAACCAATTTTTTGTAAATTTTAAGTGAATTGTCAAATTTTCTCGGAATGCAAAAATATGTTTGTTTTTTAAATGAGTATCGTTTGCGCCTTTAAATCCCGAGATTCGAACATGCAGCTGTTTTGGAATTTAAAGCTTTTGGAGGTTAATTCCCAGATTCGTGGTGACCTTTTGCTACCCGCGATGGGCGTTCAAAAACGACGTTATGAGCCGTATTTTACATAGAGCCTAATGAAGCCGTTAGTTGAAAACGCTTAACATGTGGGAGTTCGTGCTAACCGCTGTGATATCGGTACCTTTAGTGATGTCGCTGGCGATGTGCCTTTGTTGGAACCGAAAAAATCCAAAAAACGAGTGGCTCGGCGTGGACGGAATGGTGACGCAGAAGAACCCCGACGAAAACGTCAATCATCTGCCGTCGTCGACTTCGTTCGTCAATTCCGGCGCCGATAAAAGGAACACTGCCACGAACACTAGGCGCAGCCTGCCCGATATACCGGCCTCGATGAGTGCTACCGTAACGTGGGCGGTGAACGGGGACAACTCTTCGGAGCATTATGCCACTCTCGGCCAGTATCAGAACGCGGTAAAAAGCAACGGAGAGGTGGTCGCGAGCGCAACGCGGCCTAGCATATCCCAACAAAGCTCGGTGAGCCAGGCGGACCAGTTTTCTCCATACGAGCGGGTAAAATACGATAAGATCAAATCGAAAGAGCACCCTTACGCTCAAGTGCAATCGACGTCTCGTCACGCCAGTTACGATGAACATGACATGACGGTAGAGGAAAGGGTCAATTTGCTAAGGATCGACGCCGCGAGTTCTTCGAATGAACAGTCCGCTAGATCGAGACGATCTTCGGCACACAGCAGCGTCGGGCTGGACATACCAGCCGCGACGGCCGTCGCCGGCGGAGTTGCGGCCAGTCCCGACTTGCCTTACATGACCCCGCCCGTTACTCAGGCCAATTTCAGCGGCGACTCGCAGGAGTCGTCCAAGGGCTACACTAGTATTAGCGTCAGGGAGCCTTTGGCCAACATTATAGGCCAGAAAAACGACCCCAAACGGGAACTCGACGTGCACTATTCCACCGTTTCTGACGATTCTGACGACGTTTACACGACGATCGCCGATCCCAATCAAATATACACGAGCGAGAGTGAAACCTACGCCAGAATTAACCCGATGTCGGTGGCGCACGAGGTGGAGGTCCATCATCAGCCCAACGACAGCTCTTCAAGTCAGGAGCTGTACGAACCGCCGCCGCATCCGGTGCCGCCAAGTGTCGACAGTCTGAAACACGTCACCCATTCACGACAGGCCTCGTCGTCGAGCTCGGTCGCGAATATAGGGTCCCCGAAACCCGAAAAACGACAGGCGAATTCGCCCCTGCCGCCGCCTCCATCCATAAACGTCGAACTCCACTCAGCATCTCACAATTTGGACGACTTGTACGCCAAGGTACATAAGAATAGTAAGAAAGACGAGCACGAAGAAAAAAACAACGCTGAAGAGACGGAAGAGGCGAAATTATCGAGGGAGCACAATTACGAAACGCTCAAGAAAATCGCGAGGAACGTGAGCGACCCCGGATACGAGAAAATAAAAGGGGGAGCAGACTGCGAGCCCGGATACGCGAGCATTAACGGTCCCGAGAGCATCGCGAGTTCGGACCCCGGGTACGAGGTTCTGAGGGACAGAATGCCCGCTTCCGAAGCTCATTCCAAGGTCAAATCGGTTCTCAACGACGGTTATTCCGTCGTCAACAAGAAGAAACCGCCTCCGACGATGTCGGCCTACGACGGCGAAGTCAACGAGCCTAATTACACGACCGTAGAGTCCAACGGCAGCGATACCGATCCGAATTACGAGTCGGTACACCAGAACGATCCCAATTACGAGAGCGTCAAGGATTTGGAATTACCTTACGAGCAGCTGGAAAATTCCCGCACGAGTTCGGACATTTCGGGTTACGAGAAGATAAAAGGCAAGAATTCGTCGGACAGTTCGAACAGTGAGAGCAGGACTACGGAAGAGCCGCCTTACGAGCGGTTAAATAACGATACGGAAGTGCCTGGCTACGAAAAAGTTGGTGGTGGGGGGGCGTCGGAACTAGCGACCGATATACTGAATATTCATGACGAAAACGCCATTTTCCAAGTTTAGTGAAAAGGGATCTAGACGGTGTTGAGCTTTCGTATTTCTGATAATAGTATTGTTTTTGTTATATGTATCTTTTATTTATATTGTATTAGAAGAATGTCTTTAATATATTGCAACTATATTTATTTGATTATTAACTGAGTACTTTTATATTGAGATTTAATATAATTTTCGAGCGCTGCCTTTTTCTCATGTTACCTTTTAGTGACGTTCCGATTCGCCCAAGCAAACCAGCAAAAGTTAAACCCGGGAAATAAATTTATTTATTACTTATAAAAAAATAGTCCATGGGGAAGCGGAATCGCAATGTGAAGAGGTCAGAGCAAAATAATCCAGAAATGGATTTATTTGAAATTTTTTCCACGCGAAAGGCAAAAGGAAAACCTATCAATCTTCTGGCCCGGAGTTGAACTATGAGACAATTAAAATTATTTGTACTAACTAAAATGCTTTTTCTACTCCCTTCTGTAAAATACCTAATTTAACACCGATATAGCGTGCGTCAGCTTTGTTTCCCACAGATAAGAATCATTTCGGACATTTCCGGGATAACACCGCAAGGGTTTGGGAGCAATCGGATGTTTTCGGAGATATTACCGCATGGCTTGAATTTTGACGTTTGTCAATTCTGACGGTCATGTCAGTGAATGTGTTCGTGTTGTTTTGCAAAAATGTACCCAACAACTAACGGTAAGAAAAGTATAATAGTATGCAACACGTTTGGTAAACTTTTTAAGTTACTCGTTTATTAAACTCTCGCTCCGCTCGTGCCAAATAATCTGATAAATCAAATGCCGTTTACCGAACTTGTTGCGTAATGTACTATATGTCACTCGTTTATTAAGCACGCTTGGCTGCGCTCCGCTCGTGCCAAACAAACTCGTAACTCAAATGCCGTTTACCACCCTCGTTTATTAAGCATTCGCTCCGCTCCGTTTACCACACTTGCATAATACAGTGAATTCCGGTTATAAAGTACCCGAAGAACCAGAAAATGAGTACTCTATAAGCTATAAAAAAAACAAAAAAAATTATGTACTTACGTACATATTTTTATTTTATATAAAAATAGAAAACTAATAAACACTAATATAGCTACCAAAAAACTAAATTACCTAAACTAAAAATACACACTTTAGTTAGTTTATTTTTTCTCAATACAAATTTCATATCCTCGATGTGCTTCTCAACCTGCCAGGACGCTTGCATAATATCATCACAAAGCGCTTCAGAATAACTTGGTACTTCGTCCTGTTGAACCATCGTCTCTTTCGTTACCAGAGCTTTGAGGACCATTTGGCTGTAAAACTTCAATAATAATATCATTATCAGTTAATAACTCCGTTGTTCTTGAATTATCATCAACAGTTGGGAAGCTATCCAGCTCAGGAAGATACATTTCAATGTTGGTTAGATCTTGGCCGCTATTGCGCAACCAATTACTCAGGGGAGTCTCCCAGTCATCGTCGTTATTATTTTTGTAATTCTCGAACCACTGAACCAGAGATAAGTCAACGTCTGAAATAAACTCATCTTCCGTTTATCAGACCTGCATGTCGAAAGCAGTTTGAAATAGTGGTTGAAGTAACATCGTTCCAACATTGTGTAGTAATTTTATGGAGTTTAGGATAGTGATGTTGAAAGGTTTCTTATTTTCAAATGACTGGATCAAACGATAGAAAAAATATCTGCGGTAATATATGTTAATGCATTTTATTATGCCCCGATCCATTAGTCAGTTTTGGTTAGGTTTGGAACTGCTATTTGGAGCCAAAACCTCTAATCTGATATTTGAAAGGATTAGAGTTTTTGGATGAGCTGTACAATTGTCAACCAGAAGCAAAACTTTTCTATTCTGACGTTTTAGTTTTTCACCCCAATCCTTTAAATAATTATAAAAAAATAAGTCATCTACGCTCGCTGGTTTGACTTATAAATGACAGGTAGATTTATCATATTTTTCTCGTATCTCGGCCGTTCATATTTACCAATAAAAAGTTTACATTTTTCGCTTCCTGTTATATTTCGCACCAGTCGGCCTGTAGCCTCGTAATGTTTAAAAGATAATGTAAGATAATGTAAAAATATGGAGTATGGGGTATGAGAAATTTGACTTTGAACTTAGATTTTAAGTTGTTTGTAGAGGGCACTAGAACACCATTTCAATGGAATATTTTCATTACCCAAATTTTTTTTGCCATTTTAATGCATTGATTGTTTCTAAAAGAAAAATATGTTTCACTGCATACGGGCCTTAGGATAATGATTGGATTACACATTGGAGTAGGCTGAGCCCCGACAGGGGACATCAATGTATAGAATTAAAAAAAAAGAATACCTCAATAAGAAATTAAACTTTAATATATCAAAGCAGTTTTGGCTGAAACGGTAATATATTGACTTGTAGAGTCAACGGTTACTGTATGACCCAATCATTACAGACCACGCTGTGTATGTTCTACATCGATCTTCAAGTGCAGAGGATTCAAAACTTAACCGAGTTTTCATATAAAATTTCTAATTAATGCAGACCGAACTATAATTCAACAGTTTTTGAGTTATTAAACTAAATAAACTAACTGAAACTATAATTGAATAGTTTTCTAAGTACCCTTTGTACCTCTTTTTATATTTTTTGATTTTACGCGATTTTTTATTTATTGGATGAGGAGTCAAAACTTAGGTTCATTTGGGAGGTTAAAATAATATAAAAAATAATGCCAACCCTTTGAAAAAAAACCTTTAATCAAATAATACCAAAACACTGTCATTGTGCACTAAAGCAAACCAAAAGCATATCATAAAAATTACGATTCAACTTACATATTAAAGGACGTTCGGCATCAATTAAGTATCCAAAATATACATAACCTAAAGAGATGACTAGCTTATCTTTCGCCGATCCCAAAATTATAATAATAACAATAACAAATGCTTCCGTGCGACGACAAATATTAGAGTAAAAAAATATGGCCGATATATCATGTGAAAAGCGTAACGAATACCAGTCCTTAGGCGCTTCGCAACGACTCGATCTTAAAGCACAACTCCTCCCTTACTTGGGGATCCGATATAATTATCGTTTTGGTCGATTCGCTTGACCCGAAAAACTTCTTTCTTTTGGCGTCTGGTATCGTTATCTGGACTCCTTTCGGCACCACTTTGGCAGGATGCAATAGCTCCTTCCACGTGTAAGACCAATCGATCTGCAACGAGAGATTGCAAAGTATCCACCCCTTTTATCTATTCGACTCACATAGACAGCCAAAGAAATTTCAGATTTCAAACCAAATAATTGAGATTTAGTTTGGCCACACATCTACAGATGGCAGCACAACACTCAGATCAGGTGATTATAAATCTATGATTAGTTTGGATATGAACCTATAATTGTGTGGACGGAGGATGGTGAACTTACGTATTCCTACTACTAAACAGATTTCATGGACAATGAGGGACGTCCCACGGTTGCACACCATAAAATCCCAATTATAGTTGTCTTGTTAGAAACATTTTCAATTAAGTTTCGAGCTCTTGGCGTCATCTAATTTTGGCTAGTTGTAACCCGGTGCGTGGGTGTATATTTTTAAGGGTTATGCGAATAATAAATCAGTTTCTTGTTCTTTTCCCTTTAGAACTGAGACTTCACAGGTTCACAGCGATTGAGGGTCATAGATTTTACTAAAGGTCAGCAAATATACCAACAGTTGATAGGCAGTCCAGTGTACTTTCTTTACAAGATATAGCGTGAGTCAATTAAATAAAGATTTCACAGGTGTTCATTGGAAGTACGCATGTATGTAGGAAATATGTATGTACTTAGATACCTTTAAGCGACCAAAGATTATAGTTTGCTTTCAAAGGAAAACGCTGGACTCTGATCGCAAGGAGTAACATTTTAGATACCTGGTCTTAATGGATCTGTAACTCCCTACGACGGTTGCAAAAAAAACTGCCTACAACTATAGTGTTATGGAGGCGGAATATATGACCATGTCAGAATATGGAAATAGGCAATCTATTTGAGCAATTTACTGCCGAAATTGATAGGAACCAAGCAATGTATTGGAGTTTTTAATGACAATCAGTGTGCATTCTGTTGGTCTGCAAATCCTATGTTTCACAAGAGGTCGAAACATGTAGACATCATTTTGTGTACGATGCATTATTAGAGTGGAATATTAAGATAGAAACAAAATACCAAACAAATGGCTTAGGCTGTGAGAAACTATTATTGGACATGTTATGCTTATTAGAAATAGGCAAATATTAAAAATTAAGTTTGGACCTCTTGGCGCCATCTAGTTTTGACTAGTTGTAACCCGACACGTGGATATACGTTATTTAAGGTTATGCAAATAATAAATCAGTCTTTATCAGATTGTTTGAGGGGGCGGAGCTAAAGGAGGAACATGAACATTGTCTCGTTATATTTCTCAAGAACTTTTGATATGTGGTCAGTGATATTTTTAATGTAAGGAGTGGCAAGTGTGGGGTTGCTTTTGCACTCATTGTTTTTGGAAGGTTAGTGATGGAATGTTTAGTATCTCTAATATAGAAATTCTTAAAGAGGAGAGCATATGTGAGGTGTTTTTAATACAAATAATAAATCAGTATTTATTGGATATTCGTTTGTGTAGAATGCCATCTTGTTTAATTTATTTACTGATATCAACTGAAGTGTTCTAAGTCTTTTTTAAATTCATTTTGTTTACTGATCAACAGTATTATTAGAGTTTAGTTTAAATACTTCTCTCTATTAATAATTTAAAAGTATCTCAATCCATATAAATTTTTGTGATATCCACATATTTGTATTTGATGTAAACACATTTTTTTTAAGCCGAAAATCCATAAGAAAAGTGCGAAATCCTGTCAGACTAGGTCGTAATACATATATGAGGAATTATTGACATGATATCACATAATAGGCAAAAATACTCGTTATCACGGTTGCAATCTGGTGTTTCGGGAAAATGGCTGATAACATTTGTTCTAAAAAATAAATATCTGAATCTTTCGGCGGGATGAAAGCATCGAAGCATCGAATCACATCTAGAGTTTAATGTTTGGTCGTGATTTTCTTTAGTCCAGACTCACTGATTAGATTATAATACGTCATTTCGATAACACCCTGTATTGTCTTATTACGTTGCTCACCTGCCAACCACCGAACATGTCGTTATGCTCGACGTACGCCATCCTCTTATCGGTCAACAACAAAATTTCCTTGTTCTTAACTATCGCCCTATGATACACGTACACGTCCGTCGACGAGTACTTTCCCTTGCACAGTTCTATCAGCAGTTTGTTACCTTCCGCTTCGACGCTGTTGTAAGGCCTGACCAAGCCGTCCGCTTGGAGAAAACGCGGCGGACGCAGCCTCAACGTGTCCTCGCCGACCTCCGTCGCTCTGAAACATTGAAATTTATCGTTGATAAATTGCCTAACAACCAGCATCAACCATTATAAATGAAAAATAGCCTACTACCAGACGACAATGATAATGATTAGTCTATTTAATTTGTGAGTTTTTCAAATCAACTTCAACTATTCAAGAATCTTCTGAATTAGTCCTGCGTTGGTTGTTGATAAATCGAACTAAATGACGTTTCACCAATCATCCTGATGAGTTTATTTGTCATTGTCTTAAGGCTCTTTCGTGTTCTTTTAGCCTAGCTAATATATTCTATGTCCCATATCCATGAAATGCTGTTAACTGTGTAAGGAAGAACACATTCAAAATACCACTGACCACATATCAAAAGTTCTTAAGAAATATGAAGTTAAAATCAAATTTACTACTTGTCCAAAAATCTCTCATCATCTTCTCTTCAAAGAGAAAATTCCGTTTAAGATAGCAACATTCCATGCATATGGGATAAAAGATACATTGAAGAAACAGGACGAAAAATATCAACTAGGCTGAAAGAACATGAAAGAGCCTTAAAACTATCACAAATCAACTCATCAGCAGTGGCAGAATACAATCATGCAACAGGACATCAAATCAAATCAAATGCTTATGGGAGCATTCATTCGACACAATGTTCATGGCCCTCCTTTAGCTCCGCCCACCACAAGCACATATAAGCGGTTACAGAGTAGAATGTAATTTGTGGCATATTGGCTTGAACCACCTGCATCCCTCTAGAGCCTAGACCATTCGCTCGCTAAAAAAAGTGAAAAGACGAACGAAATAATAATTTTTACGAGGGGTGGTTGCTTTTGTTAGCCTCCTCAATAAATTCAGCGAAGTCGCTAACGGTTGTTCCGCCGTTGATACAAACCGAATCAGAGTCAAAAGCAATTTTTTAATTTTTTTTTCTGTTCTCTGCTGTCCGAAACGGACCTTTGGGAAGTTTTTGAAGCTGGATAACATTTGAACGGTTGCAACTACGTACTTCAAATTTTCCTCCGTAGTAATACTAGTAGAAGCGCAGCGGCCCACCAAATATTGAGCCAATCAGGCATCGGAGGTCATTTTGTCTATCATTCGTAGCGTTTTCTGAGAGGCAAGGTAACATCCGAAATATTGGGCCATCCAGTTGAAAATAAAACTGGAAGGAATAGGAAGTTCTGAAGTTTTTTTTTGGGAACAAAAAAAATTCTTGAACCAGAAGATGCGAGAGATTTAGGGCGATACCCCAAAAGTAGTAAAAAATATACAGGGTTACAGCTGGTATAGGGTCAAGGGCAAAAAATGTAAAGTTGTTTTTTTATGTCAAACTGTGGTAAACAGCGCAATCTGGTTTTAACGTTCTTTTAGACCGCCACGAGAGCCACGATTTTTGCCTTTATTGTTTTCATCCATGATACAGGGTGCGCGATATACGGACCAGAAAGCGATTGGTTGGAATTAAATATAACCTCGTAGCTCAACTATTTACGCTTTTCGTCTATTATACTGGGCGTTCGCAAAATATTGAATCGTTTGTGATAGTGATGATTTCGTGAATGTGCCATTAGGTTCCTCTGGAGCTTAACCGAGAAGCAATCAATCGGCTTGTTTATATTGCTATAAAATACCTTTTAACTACGTCCAAAGAGCCGCTAGCGAAATCGACCAATCCGGCGGCGGGTCGGGTGACCAACCCCACCGCGCCCTTGCCTAATCCCTTGAAGAAGCCCTCGACTCCCTGCTCCTTCGCACCGCTCACCGGCTTCGTGAACACCCCCGTGACGCCGTCCACCACGCCCTACGAAAACGAATGGCGGTCGCGGTTCAACCGGTATCATCTTAGTTACCATAACGAGCCCCTTGCCGCTCCTAGCGATTCCCTCCTGGACCGTCGCTGGTTTCTTGTTGATCTGATCTCGTCGCTTTCGTTGGAACTCTTCGTCGAACGTCAGCGCCGCAATGCCTTTTCCCATGGCCCCGGTGATCCTGGTGGCCGCGCCCAAAGCTCCGCCTACCGTGTGCCCGAACAAACTTTTCACGCCCAAGGCGAGTCCTTCGGCAAACTCGCTCGGCCCTTGAATAGCGCCCTGGAACGGTTCGTAGAACAGGTCCTCGACGCCCTTACTTATCCCGATCACTAAGCCGTAGGGGTTGCCGATGACGTCGAGGCCGAGTACCAGCACGTACAACTGTTTGATCAGCTGACCTTGGTAATGGCTGATAGCTTCGGACACCAGCTGTCTTTGGGTCAAGAAAATGTAATCGCGTTCGAAGAACGATAACCTGGAGAGATACGCAAAACATCGCAAAAACGTAGCGAAGAACGTTGAACGGCGCTCACTTGAACACGACATCCTGAAGGTCGGTTAATGTGACGCCCACCCCCTGGAGAAGGACGTTGAGGAAATTGGGAGTGGAAGCGCTTTGGCCTGCGGAAGAACCGGCGGCCAACGAAAAGCTCACGTGGATCTTCAAGGGGGAAAAGTGGAGCAAGTCGTAGAAGCTTTTCTGCTCTTGAAGAGCTTGGCTTGAAGCGTGCGAGTACAGAGCTTGGTGGACGAGTTGCATGTCCGTAACGAACAGTTGCCTCTGGAATAAGACGGCGGATCAAAATCACCCAATTAAAAAATATTTTTGCTTACGTCCTCCTCGTCGGAACTCTCCGCTTCCTCCATCATGTGCATCAACGCGTTGACGAAGCCCATATCGACTTTCACGTGGAACTCCTGGACCAGCACCTTGAAGTACTTGAACTGCCTGATCTGGCTGTTCTTGATTAGCAACTGGACAATGCTGACCTCGACGAACGGTTTGATGCCGCTGTCGACGGCCACACTCTTAGGGGGCGGCACGGGCGCCAGAACGATGGGGAAGATGCAGTCGGACATCTGATTGTCGATCTGCAGCCGGTTGATTTTCGCGTGGAGCTGCGTCTGGCTCGGGCTGGTCTTCATCTGGAGCCACACCCCGGTTTGGAAGGTGCGTCTATAACGTATACCACACCATTTGAATTGTTGCGCATTTCAGCCAACAGAACTAACCTAATTTTCCTCTTACGAGGTTTGAACATCTGCTGCAGATCGAAGTCTATTTCGATGCTGCCGTCGATAACGGTACGACCACTGACCGAAGTATCAGAAGTACTTTGTCTGGACAAGTAGCCTTGGTAGGCGTTCTCGATGTGGGTGGACTCCTTCGCACCTATGCAGTTCGGGATTAAGGAACTTAATTGATGTCTGAGACACCAAAAAGAAGCAATGGCAAAAAAAATCAGTATATGAACTTCCAATCCAAAACACTCTTGAGTTTCGATAATTTGATGGAGTTGAAGCACTCATTGGTTAATTGTATTTCAGTAAGCTTGCTTTTGGTTCAATATTTTTACCACTCTTTTACGTAATAAATGTTCTTTAGACAAGCCAAGTGGTCTTACCCAACGGCTTGTACCTCTTCCTATTGACTTTGCAAGTTTCCCAAATCACTCCGCTACTCGCGATACCGATATACATGACCTCTTGGCGGGTGAGGTTGTTGACCAAACTCAACCCGAGCCCGTGCAAAGACAAGGTTATCTCCTGCTGTATAACTTCAAAGATGTTGGTGGCTCCCTGAGCGATCCCCCTGTCCGTGGTGAACAGCAACACCCTCTGCATACCTAGCGAGCCAAAAATTAATTTTAAATAAACACCTCGGGCGCACCGAATTAGCCAAGCACATAGTTCATTAAAAGTTTGACAGCTTTGGGCTTTGGCCTTAAACAAATGTTATTTCAGTTTTTTTCCCGTTTTGTCAGCACCAGCCACGCCCTACTAGGCGTTGTATATAAACTACTATATGAGTAATGCACGATTTCATCATTTACCATCCAAAAACGAAGACCAGCACACCTCGCATTGCTCCGTCACAAAGAAGCTACCGCAGTCGTCTTTCCTCAGGTCGTTTTCGATCTCGTTCTTGTGCGACTTTTCCCAGACCACCATCCGGGGTCCAGAAGGATTTTCCCACGTGTAGAGCACGCAGTGCTTCGGTTTGAGCGTTCTGAAGGGTCAATGTGCTAACGACAAATTCCAAAAAGGTCGAAGCTTTTACCTAATTTGAACCGACTCCTTTTCCCAGAAGTTTATATCGACATCCGAATGATTGATAATGAGGGCCGGGGCGCTACCCGCGCTATAGGGGACGAAATTGATGTAGACTGCACCCTCTGTCAGCTGAATGTCTACACTAATGCCTCCGTACTAAAAATAAAGGCCAGTGCAACCGGAGCTTCTCTGTCCAGCAAGAAGAGTTCAATTTCAATAGAGAAACAACTTAGATTTGAAGAGTAAACGAAAAATTGGATTAATTCCAGTAGTCACTTTTTTTCAAAGTTCAAAATTATGTTAGTTTCATTCGTATATTTCTACCTATACCTCTGCCCCTCGCCTACCTTATTGTTCAGCTTAAGTAGGGTGGTGTGGCTTTCGGTGTACAAAAATGGCGGGCTTATTTCTGCGGTGCCGGCGATCCTCAGCTTCAGTAGTTTGTCTTCGAGCTCGCTCTTGGGCCACAGGGCGGTGCAAGACTTCGGCTCGATTTTGACCCACGGATCCGCAGGTCTGTCACTTTCCTGACACTCTATGACGAACGGCGCGTCGTTTATTATGACATAGTATGGCATAAATGTCACCTGCTTGGTCAGGTTGTTGTAGGTCAGCTGGTTGTGCACGCCGATCTAAAATCGGAGAATCCGAATAGGTTAAGGATAAAGTCCTCTATGACGCGATATACCTGATACACACGATTATTGGACTTGCAATTGACCACGCCCGACGAACCGGCAACATCCAGCGAGAACTTGTCGGACCAGTCGCCCGACTCCACCCTAATGGAGGCCTTCTTTTTTCCGAAGAAGTTTTTGGTATTGAACGAGAACAATATCGGCCCTTTAAAGTTCGCTGGGTGATGTAACACGTTCAGGTTTTCATCCGACGTCTAGAACGGAAACCATATTTAACCCAAACTTTGGCAAGCGAGTTACATGTACCAGACCGTGGTCAAAGGGTATTAGCATCGACATAACCTCTGCCACCTAAATAGTTAACAACTTCCGTGTCACAACAATAACCCAAAATGTAATGAGGCAAAATTAAAACTATACGGGTTAGACGAATAAGGTCCGAAATTTTACGATTTTGCAACTTTCCCGTTTGACCATTCGATAGGGATGCCCATGGAAGGGCCCAAGCATGCGAGACAGAAAAAAAAGTGTACAACATCCATTGCGCTGCAAACAAACAAAAATATAGGCCAGCTAGGTAGTTTTTGTACCTTTGCGGGACTCCCTGCCGCTTCATGCTTCTCAGTTTTTTTCGATTTCTGGAATAAAAAGGGACAAAAACATTTACATTGAGGTAGTAATAACAAAAAAAAACGCATCACTAGAAATGTTATGCATTTGATTCTCTCTTATTCAATAACAAAATTAGTATCAAAGTATCAATTTAAATTGTCCCACAAAATATACTAGCAAATTGATGTAAACACTCACCCTGTAACCAATCATAAGCCCCGTCTTGTTCAGCATCCAAAATGGGCAGTACAAAGAGTAAATGAGCGACCCGTTCTTGTTGATGGTGTGCATACCGAGGTCCAACGACCTCTTGGTTGGACTGTCATAGCTATGGAAGGTCCAGACTTCGAATTCTGGTGGGTTTTCTTCCGTATCTTTCCGGCAAGACCACTCCTTTTCCAAATACTCAGGCAACTGTTAGTATAAAAGTATAATCATTTATTCCATTTTGACATTTGCCGATTACAATCGTCTACCGCTTACCCTAATTACGATTGCAGATTTTCCTGGGTCTACGTCGGGTAGCTGCAAAGTGTCGCCCGCCTTAACCTCTATGTCCTCGTCGAGCTCTTCCACGCACACCACAATCGGCAACGGCAGGAAATTTTTCAAAATGGCAGCCGGTCTCAAATGGATATTGTAACAAGTACTGGCCATAGTGTGTCGGGAAGTGTTCTCGTAGTAAACCTGTTCCATTTCGCCAATCGCTTTGATAATAAAAGGGTTCTTGCCGTTTGAGTGGGCTTCCTTCAGCACTGGACATCTAAGTAGCTTCACAATGTTGACGTCCAGCTGGAGATCCTTCCAGATATACGGATTACTAGTGACTGAGTAGCCGTTGACACCAAAAAAAAGTTCGTTCGTTTGGGTATAGACGGCCTTCAAGGGCAGATTTAAAGTATCACCCGGCTCCACCGAGCCTACCAGTTCCAATTCGTCACCTCTCTGGGTCATATAGTAAACATCTACCGCGACATTGAAGTGATTAAAGACCTGAAATAACAACGGTTGTGAACAATGTCGATCCACTTGAAACACCAGCTAACGCACTTGCAAAATACTCCTGATGGTGATCAGGGTGACCCCTTCATCGACTTTCACGTCGGATATGATGCCCCAATTGTTGTTATCCTTGACGTAGTTCAGCATAAAGTACCGTTTATCCGCCCTGACGACGGGCAAGCTCAATTGGCAATCGGTTTTGTTTACTTTGACGTTTAAAATGTATTGCTTATCCAGCTCGTTACGATTCAATTCCTGGCCAAGCTGAATAACGTGTGATCGGGCTTGTTTTAAGACCAAAGGCACCGCTGCCGATTTGTTGATGTCCTCTAGCGAGCCGCCATCCGCGATTTTAAACGAGCTCTCCTCCAGAAGGAGGGTAATGGGTTCTCCGATATCGTTCAACACTCTGGAAAAAGTTGCCGATTCAGGCAAGAGTTGAAGGGGATAATCGCAAAACTAGTTTGGAACAAACATCTGAATGGTGTAAGCTACGACGGCAAGAGTATTCTCAGACTTCGTCTACTTCAAGCCGATGGCCCAGTATGCTATAGTAACATTATTTAAGTTTACAGAAAAGGTGCACTACAGAAAAAATGGAGTATTCTAAACTGTATTAAAGTACACAGAGTGAAACAATAAAGTACCACCCAAACTTTTCGTGAAACAAAAAGAACATTATGGACAAAATTAGTTCAAAGAGTGCTTACATAAAAAAGGCTTAGCTTGATTTTGAAATAGAGCGGAAATATGGATGAAATGAGATTTCCTTTGGACATCAATTGTTTCCCACTTCCCCCTTAGCAGTTTATAAGTCAGTTTAATTTTAAACGTACCTGTAGGGAGCTACTACTTCACTCGCAGCAATCTTCTCCGGCTTCATGGCGGACGCAAAGGCCTTGCCCAAATTCTTCAACACTTCCAAACACGTTTTCGTCACCGTAAGCTCCAGGGTTTTCTCCGAGATTAGGTCGACGCTCATCACCGCAGGCTGAGGAGTCGCCATAACTTCCACCTATCACAAAACGTTAATGATCCATTGAAATCACAATCCATTAGATGTGTTCCAACCTCGTTTTCAGACGCGGGGCTGGTAAAATTGAGCGCTTCGTCAGGTTCGTTCATTGACATCTCCAACCTAAGATGCCACGGCTCGAATTTTAGGCTGTCTCCGGATTTTCGCTCGACGGGCTCGATCAGAGGTTCCCAAAGTGCTAGTCGACTGTTATAGTAGCCCATCTGGATGGTCAGGGACGCTTCGACGCCCAATTGCGATGACCAATTCCTGGCGCTGCCTTTGAGGCTTGCCTCGAATAGTAACATGGGTAGGGTCTTGTTGCCCACACCCGCTTCCACGGTGATAACCAGCGACGGCATCGATATGAGGCACAGCTCTTGTAACGCGGGCTTGGCCAGGGTTTGTTCCATCACTTCCTCCGTCGCTTCTTGCGCGGTCTCACTCTTCAGGAACCAAAAATCGTTATCTTTGAAGGCGCGTTGCGTCCAGAGGTTCTGGTAGTTAAACTGCTCCTCTTCTTGCGCGCTCTGCGTAGTCGAGCTCTGGGACATAGTAACCAGCACTCTATTTAACAATTCTATAGTCGCTGGTGACACCCTTAACAACACTTCCTCCACCATTAGCTCAAGGTGAAGTCCCTTGCCCTCGGGCGTGGAACCCGCCAAGCTCACTGTCACCGGATGCAAAATATTGCCCCTGGTTTCGGCCCTTCTGGCCGGATTATAACTGCATGTGTAGAGCTGGAGGTCCTTGATGAGTCCGTTCATAACCTGATGCTCTCCACTCAGCCTAAACTTGACTAAAATCTCGCTGTTGAGTATCATAGCATGAGTGTCGACATTGTCCATGTGCTCGACGAGAATTATATCGGGCTTCTCTACCTTCAGGTTAAGCGTCATCTGAGATGTGGGTTTGGCTTCCTCAATGGTACCCACTGATACCTTACTGGTTTTAGCGCTTTTGCTTTGAACCGATTTGGTCTTTTGGGCAGCTTTCGAATTGTCTGCCGGAAGCGAAAACACTTCCGCTACTTTCAAGAGATAATCGACAGACAGAATGACCGTGAAACTGTACACCCTGACATCGGCGAACACGTCGTTGCCGGTCTGCTGAAAGGTGACGTCGATCATACTCCTGGGATGTAGAGACTCGCTGGAGCTCGCTATCAGGGCATCATCTTGCTGAGAACGTTCAATTAAGCGGTTTAGCTTGTCCTCGCGACCTTTCCGCATATCGTCTAGCAGACAGTTCACTAGCAGGACGGAAGTTACTAAAGAACCGTCCGACAAGATACGTCCTTTGAGCGAAAGGCCTTCCAGAGTGAACCTTCCCAAATGGGTGTCCTCCCTGGTGGTTTGGGCGAGCTACAAATTACGTTATAGCAGCTGGAAGCTTGTTAAGATTTATTAGTAACATATTTATAAACTTAAGTTATACCAGAAAACCATGCAAGCAAAATAGAAACGAAATCAACAAAAATCTATTTAATAATCTAAATATTGAGTCATTATGTGATTTTTAAAGAGGGGAGCAGAGTTAAATCCGAACATATCTATTTCTCTCTACTTTTACTATAATTATTAAATTGCATATTCGATATAGAGGCGAAATATGGATTAAAGTTAAAATAAATCTAAAAAACTAACTAACTTCTTTCTTCTTGATTTTGTGTGTCAAAATGAAACTCTAAGTAGATGTCAAATGTTCCATGCTTTTTAAAATATATTTATTACACAAGGGGGACCAGACCATAAAAACACATCCAATTAGGTCTATAAGGTTTTATAACTTTCACAAAAAAAAATAAAATAAAGTCCAATATTTACATATTTTAGGGTCTAAAGGAATGCCAAGATCTCTAGTTTATGTTAGTTGATAATCAAAATGAACTAAAATTTTGGTTTTGTGAATGTTAATGTAAATAGTATTTTATTGTCAGTAGTCAATTTATGAGCTGCAACTATGTCCCCCTCAAATACCTGAAAATGACTAGTAGTATAGTTTTTAACTACAGCCTGGAAACTACTCCAATTACCAGATGCACCTCTTTCATTTTGTACGACACTAAACTGTTCTTTGCCTCTCATATTGAAACCATTGGCAAAGATTCAACAAGATCGATGGGCTTTATATTTCGTAACGCTAAAGAGTTTCGGAACATTCAGGCTCTCAAAGCATTGTTTTTTAGCTATGTCAGATCCAAGCTTGAGTACTGTGCGACAATCTGGTTCCCCATTCACGCTAAATATATAGACCAATTGGAGGGTATACAGAGAAAGTTCGTTAAATTCCTGGCATTTAAAACTGACGGAGTATTTCCGGCGCGGAGTACTGAACAGTCATTACTTTTGGAAAGATTTGAACTCCCGTTTTTAAAATGGCGAAGAAACTACCTAGCGGTTATCTTCCTCTGCAAAATTGTTCTATCCAGGATTGACTGCTCGGAGCTCTTAAAGCAATTACCTCTCCATGTTCCTCAAAGATCTGTCCTCAGTTCGCCGATTTTCCACCTGCCTACCCCATCTACAAATTTCCTTATAAAAACCCCCTTACACAATGCTATGTATCTTTTCAATGACCGTTGTAGTGATATTGACACTTTCAACCTCTCCTATAATCAGTTATCAAACATTCTCAAAACAATTTTTTTTGTTTAGGCAATTGATATTGTATCACGCATAGGCACTAAGGTACGAGTACAAGTGTGAGTTCTTTAATTTGTTTATACATTTTGCTATATTGTATTTAAATGCTTGTCAGATTGTCTTGTAAATGGATGTAGAATCTGTTAGACAATAAATGATTATTATTATTATTATTATTACCATTATTATTATTATTATTATTATTACCATTATTATTATTATTACCATTATTATTACATATCGGGATTGTTTCAAAAATAGAACTGCAAAAATTCGTACAATTTGAAGTGCTTGCTTGGATATATGAACTACTACATATTTCAGCGTCCAGCATTTTTATCGCTTGATGTAATGGTGGATTTTTTAACACAATTTGTTTATTACCATTTGTTTACTGTTTTAAATACATGTTTACACTTAAATACCACCGAAAAGAGACCAAATGATTCAATGCGGTCGACACCAGCCATATGTTATTATTATAAATTGAGATTGCTTCAAAAATACAACGGCAGAAATTAGGAGATGTTGGAGTGCTTGCATGAACATATGAACTACTAAAGATTCCATCGTCCAGCATTTTTATCGCTTCACCTAACGGTGTTTAGTCTGCTAACTGTTTTAAATACAAGTTTACAACTAAATACCATCAACAAGAAACTAATATTCAGTGTGGTCGCGACGAGTCTTTAATTGTTACTATTGTTATTTATTCATTATTACATAGTGACAATGCTTCAAAAATAAAACGACAGAAATCAGAAGATGTTGAGGGTTTGCTTTGACATATAAACGATTAAGCATTACACCATTTAGCATTTTCATCACTTGAATTAGTGATTTTCTTTACTACAATTTGTTTATTTTTATTTATTAGCCCCTAAGGAAACCAAAACATCCAATAGGGTCACTACAAGTCTTTATTTGTTACTATTGACATTGATTCAAAAATAAAACGAAAACTAGAAAACAAAGATGTTGCGTGGTTTCCTTGGACATATTAGCTACCAAATATTTCACCGTCTAGCATTTTTATCGCTTGATTTAGAGGTTTTTTTTTACTACAATTTGTTTATTTCTATTTGTTTATTTTGCTTACTGTGTTAAAGACTAGTTTACCCCTCAATACCTTCAAAAAGAAAGCAAAGGAGTCAATGCGGTCTCCACCAGCTTGTAATTGTTACTATTATTATTACAAAACGAGAACGCTTCAAAGATACAACGGCAGATATCCGCAGATGTCTCGCATTTTCATAATTTGATTTAGTGGTAGATTTTTTACGACAATTTGTTTATTTATATTTGTTTACTTTGCTTAAAAAGATTTAATGCGATTGCGACCAGCTTCGAATTGTTACTATATCTAGATTACTTCAAAAATACCGCGGCAGAAATCCGTAGATGTTGTCTAGTATGAACTACTAAATATTTCACTATCCACCATTTTTATCACTAGATTTTTTTCAATAATTTCTTTATTTCTATTTGCTTAGTTTACGTACTGTGTTTGTATTTCACCAGTAAATAACATAAAAAAGAAACTAAAAATTGCCACCAGCTTCAAACTGTCACTATTTGATTCAAGTGTCTGTTTGGACATATGAACTACTACTCACAACTCGCCTCAACCGCTCACCTGCTTAAATCCGCCCGAATACAAATCGACGATGAGTTTTTCCATGGCGAAGGTAAACTTGAGGAACACGTACAGCTGGGGCTTGGTTTCCTCTTTTTTCTCTACGATCTCCGTCGACGTTTCTAGCGTGGGCTTAACCGCTACGGAACTCGACGACAGGACCGCTGCTTTTCCACTTTGCGTTGCCACTTCCTTAGTCTGCAACAAATCGTTTGAAAAAAATGGTCGCCCAAAAATGCGAAACGTGCCTGTCCTTCGGCCAGATTGCCGCTCAATACCGACATAACCATCTGGTAGTCAGCTTGGGAGACGTGCAAACCGATCAACTTTATATTTCCGCTGACGTCCAGGTCGGGTATCGATTTGTACCACCCGGCAGAAAGGTTCCTCTTCAATGAAACAGAGAAATTGATCGGCTCCAGTATCACGCACTCGCTGACGATATTTTCTTTAGAGTCTAGTTCGACCGTTGACGCTTTCAAGTCGGTCAGCGAGACTTTCATTTCGTCCACAACCGCTGAGAAACCGTCCTATAAAACACAAAGGGAATGAAACGGACACCTCACCCTAGGGCCGGACGAACTCGCCTCGTTCTTCGCGTCGAGCACTAAAAACCGGTTGGTGACGGAGATCACGCCCAGATCGAGCAAGATGGCGTCCGTACTCTTCGAATTGACGGGCACTATGATGTTGGGTGCCCTCAGGCGGACGTTGAGCGCGATTTTCGTCGCCTTCTGGTACGCCTCTTTGACGTTTTCGCGCGCCCTCTGTGCGGCCGCCTCCGAAGCTTCGGCTATCGCCTGCTGCGCCGCTTGGAATTGGTTCAAGAAGTTCTGCGCATAGAAGAAACGCGCATATAATTACCCCGTAAAGCCACCCTGTTCCGGTTCCACTTCAAATTACAAATTTAATTTTCGTGATTGTGTTCGGCACCTGCTGATGCGTTTATTTGTCTTGGTCTTAAGGCACTTTCATGTTCTTTCAGCCTAGGTCATATTTTTCGTCCAGTCTCTCCAATGTATTCTTTGCCGCATATGCACCAAATGCTGGTATCTCGAAAGGAATGTTTTCCCCGAAAGTCTGTGTCTCAGATTGCAAGCATCTTTGAATTCAATTGCCTATTTAAGAGAAGCTGTTGAGCCACTGAGTGTTACGTTAAGTGGCTGTATTTGTTCCTTTCGATCGCTATTAAGCTTTTTGGTTAGGTTCCAGGCAATTTCTATTCAGTTCTATCTAAGGTTTTTATCCACCTGATCTGTCTGCCGTCGCTGAGCATTTCCATCAAGGCTGTACCACATGTTAGTGTTTCCTCGAAAATCGGATTTAGATTTAAGAATATTGTCAAGCGTTGCATTAGACAGACCCGATGATTAGTAGAAATAGATATTATGTAGACGAGACATGGTTTGACACTATGCTTCCAGAGGAAACACTTTACACTGTGGTTCGAGAAAATGTTAGGTGCCAAACGCTTTGCTATCTTCAGCAAAAAACTGATAAATAGACTACCAGGCTACCATGAGGACATGACAAGTGAACTTTTGAAAATTAAAAAATTCTGTGCTTCCACCAGGCAGAGTAATATGATAGTGCTACTTATTACAGCACTTTCGCTAAAAAGGTGCCAACAGTCAGCACTAAAAGAGGATATTGCAAGTTTCTTAGTTAGCATGACCTTTTTTGAAGATAGTTTTACAAAAAGGTAGTTCATGAAGACTAATGCTTTGAAAACTGGATTGATTACATTGCGCGTTTTTATCGTATTTAATTGTTGTTTCTGTATAGTACATTGAATTTTTTCCAAACTATCTGAATAAGATTTGTTAGCATTTTATTCAATTGAACCATTATATATTCCAAAGCCTTCATTGCTCATATCCTAATAATGTGGTAACGGCAATCAATATAATAATAATATTATTAATAATAAGTAAATACACATTTTATAAGAAATTTAGACACACGCGTAGTCCAGTTCAGCATTCCAGGAATTCTGACTGTTCTTACACTAAATTTAGTATCTGACATGAGGAAATATACAAAAAAATAGATTAAACATATCATGTGTCAATCAAAGCATTCGCAGAATTTGCTAACAACAAAAAAAAGTAGAAACAGAAACATTTGATGCAGCAAGATTTATGAGCCTATGCACAGATCTGTATTTGTATACCTAAGAATCAGCAGGCACATTTTGCTTTCTCCTGGTTAGAGCACTGCGTTTTAGATCAAGCCTAGTGACTCCACATAGGCGATGATAGCTCCCAGAGTCGTGTCCCTGATTACCACAAAAGATGATTCACCAAGCATGGCTTCACACCTACGCGAGAGGTTAAGACATTAGCACAGAATGTGTTCTACTGTCTTGTCTTTCTGTTCGCACACCCTGCACATGGTACTCAAGCCCAATCTGAATGCCTGTGGCATTTTCCTGGACACATTCTGGTATTGTTTGGCTGCTCTTTAGTTTGGCTAGCTCAATAGTTTTAGAATTTGTTTTCATAAGTTTTCATATTAAGTTGAATACCACCAGTTCAAACAAGAAGTACAGGTGGCACTTTAAAGCATATTTAGTCTTTAAATTCATTAGGGAGGTTACTAAATACTTTATATACACACTAAGAATAGGAGCGCTTGAAAATTTTCATTGAGTGACCTTTAGACCTAATATTCATATTATGTCGTTAATTCCGAAACTAATTCTATTTTATAGAAACTGTGGTATCTTCAGGGCTGTAATATCATTTTCTAACATTTCTTGAAAATACTCTAAAAATGTGTACAGTCACTATAGGAGATCTGTAAATTGCTGCTACGACTAAGAACTCATTTTCTATTGCTAATTATAACCATATAGTCGGGGAGCAGCGCTTGTCCTTTACAACTACTAGTCAGTAGAGCTTTTTTTTGTCCTCGATTATTTGTTTCACTACTGTAAGCGCGACACCTACCAACCTTTACTTGTACCGACAGAGTGCTTCTCCTTCTTAATGTACCTTACCCAAATAGCGTTAGTTTTTGGGTAGTTCAAATGTACCATTTTTATATGACTCACGTAGAAACTAGATCATCTATCATGAAAATACCGTAATCTCCTAGCACTTTTTTTATACAATAACTACCACCCCATACCCACAAAACTGACCAGCATGTTACTGACGAACCAGTTGACGAAAACGATTCGCGTCTCCGCCATCTTGACCGTGACGTCGATGTCCGGCTTCTGGGACTCTTCCTCCAAGTTGTTGAGGACCACTTGGGCGGTTAGGGCGGTACCCTCCACAGTTGACAAAATCTAAAACCCGAAAAATCAATACCGTACCGCATAAGCTTCCCGGACCAACTCACCATACTGTGCTTGGTTTCGGGATTGAGATCGATGACGACGATATCCGCGAGCCTGGCCAAGACTTGGGTGTAGGTGGACTTGATGGCAACGTCGCAATTTAAGCCGCGCACGGCCACCGACGAAATATCGGCCCTGAAATCATCTCGGCAATATAAAGGGTCTATTAAAGATCGAGATCCTTACGAGTCCGTTGCGAATTTGATCATCACCTCTTTAATGTCAGCTTTAACTTTAAACTTGATAGACTCCACGACTACCGACTCCGTTTTTTTCTTGTCCTTCTTGGCGATTTTAACCGCCTCCTTGGATATCTCGCTTATCGTGGACAGAGTCCTCTGGAGTCTGTGGGAGGGTTCAGAAACGACGACCGTCGACTGTGTCAACTCGGCTACAGTCTCTTGGATGCTCTGGGCGAATGCCATTAGAGAGAGTAGCGCCTCCTGCTGTAGCATGACGTCGAGTGTGCTAAAATCAAGGCCGACGCTCGTCTCGCACGAGTGATACACAGAATGGAAGTCCGGGGATTTTGGATCCACTTGAGAAAAGGTGACCTTGAACAAGCACTGCTCGTTCGACGAGGCCAATGGAGTGTTTATCACGGGAATGACTCGGGAGTCCCTGTTTTGGGCCACGTTAACGCTGCCCAACAGCAGGGTCACGTTGAGGTCCGAGGTCCGCTGCAACAGCTTCGCCTCCAAGGATTTCACCTCGAGGGTCGCCATCTGGCGAATTTTCGACGACAGGGTCTCTTGCTGATTCAAAGTAAATCGGATTTCTAAAACGCAACACGGTGTGAAGGCGCGCAGTCCGTATTTAGTTTTGCGTTTTGTGATTTACCTGAAAGACAGACGGATATATCCATGATTTGAAACTGGGTAAACTGCCTGGCGTCATCCGCGTCCCTTGTCGGTAACAAAGCCTTCGTCGGGATAGCGTTGTCTTGCAAATGCTTCAGCAGGCTGGCGGTGGAGCCGGAGAATTTATTTTTCTACGTTCGCAAGAAATAAATCAACAAATATATCTCCGCATGCGGCTACTGCTTACCACCAGCGGTTCAGGTTCCGGTAAGTCGTTTTGTGGCAGGGGTATACTGGTGATCAGCGATATCAGGAGCAGTAGTCTCGCATCCGATACGGCCATATCGATTGATGGAAGATCGCAAATGATTTTCGTATGGGGCAGTCTGTGAAATTAGTAATTGTGCAAAATAGAATATTTGTATAAGTGTTAGGCTTGTGCTATTATAGGTAAGTTAGGCCGTTAATAAAATGAAAAATACATTGAACGGCTAAAATATGGAACAAATCCATTTAAAAATCAGGTATTGGATTTCAGTAAATCTGTTCGCACACGTACATCAAAATTTTTTCTTGCGCACTTTTTGCACTAAATGGGTTGGGTCAAAAAGTAGATGTCGATAACTCTTTTAAAGTCCATTTTCAGATGTCTGCGTCTCCTATCTCTTACTTTCACGAGCAAAAGAATGAAAAAAAAAATGAATTTAATTTTAAAACGAATTTGTAAAGTTTTTAAATAGTCACAATTACATTTCTGTCAGCAAAAACGTGACACGTTTAAATGACAGTCGGAAAATTGAAATTTTAATTTTTATTGGATATTAAAACGAGAACTGAAGAAGAAATTTGTACATTGTTTATTACCCAATATCAATTACGGTATCGATTACAACGACCCCCAAACGACAAGTGCTGATAAATATACAAGATGTGGTATTTTTATTAATATGTACATATGAAGGTACATAAAATAAATTTTGTATCTGTAGATGTATCTTCCGAAGTTAGTTCCTAAGGGTACCATTTTGGGACGTATGGATATATATATATATATATATATATATATATATATATATATATATATATATATATATATATATATATATATATATATATATATATATATATATATATATATATATATATATATAAATCGCGACTACACTAACTTGATCAAAATATCAATATGAATATTATATCATCATTACAATAAGCAATTACATTACATTACTATTAACTATTACAGCACACATTATCAAAAGTTGACAATACATCATTTATGTTACTCCAAAAACAACTTTACTAATTATAAGTATCAACGAAGTGTTGAAGAATGTCTTGGTTATTAAAAAATGATGCTCATTTACCATGGTAAGTTCTAAGTCGCAATTTTTCGGATTTTCGATTTATGCCTTTGTTTCAAGTTCAACAAAATTTTGATTTTGGTTGTATTACATTTTAAGCTAGTAGTTCGTCGCTCTAGTGGCCATCTTTGCCTGTTATCCACTATTTATCAAATTATTTTTAAAAACAGTTTAAATGGTTATAAGTTATTTTAAAAATAAATCTAACTCTCTATCAAATATAATGCATAAGACATTTAATCTACCCCGAGAACAAATATGGAATTACTCTTTCACTTGTAGACACATCCACGAAATAACTACTGTTAAATGAGATACTTACATTTGCTGTACCGGCCTTTGTTGTATTGAGTAGTTCCAATGTACACCCTATTTTTAAACAACCAAATCACTTACCGAGGGTCGTCGGTGATCAGACACTTGGAGTATGTGACGCTTAAGCTCAGCGGGCTCAGAAGATGCATCTCGGTGATGACGGAACCATCGAAGCACCGCCTCCAGTCCTCTTCGCCCTGAGCGACCAGTACCTGCAACTCACTTAGCTCCAATTTGAAGTGGTCGTAACTGAACGTCTTCATCTTTTCGAATATCTCTTCGTGGGCGAGCCCTTCGGCGTGCAATCTTTTGACCTATCACAGAAAACTACTTTTACCGTACATGTCATCATGTTCACGTTAAGCATACAAGATGTTTCGCGATCTTCGACCTCGATTTGCTCAGTTTAAAACACAGTCAGCTAATTTTGCAAAAAATGAAGAAGACACCATCAAGTTCGATTTATGTAATGTTGAATATTTCTTTGCTGGTATCAGAAATAACTAAATTTTGAATATTGTCGCCAATCTGGCTGGGGAGATGGATCCGTTGAAGGTAAAATCACATTTTACATCTATGGATTTTCTGGTTTTTAAGATGGAAAAGAATGGGGTTGCTACAAATGTAGATGAATCTCGCCAGAAAAGAAATGACTACTGCGCTTAGATTAAGAAATAACTGCTGTTACTTTAATTTAACTTGTTTGAATGCGGAGAATTAGGAGATTTATTTAGTTGTGTGAGCAATTGGAATTACTCTCAATCATGGCGAAACGTTAGCAAATTCGAGTCAACAAAAACCGACGCAGGAGAAATTCAGAAGTTTAATAAAAAGTACATAATTGGTATATTATAATTATTACCTCCATAATAGACGACCTTTTTCCGGAAGAGAAGATTTTCACGCGACCGAGGTTGACGACAAGGACATTCTGTAACTCTTCGTACTTGCCCCCGTAAGGGATGATAACGTAAGGCGCGGCAAGATCTATGTCGAGGTCGAGCCTATTGTGCTGCTCAATTGCATACTGAAGTCCGGTCGCCGTCATCTCCTTGACGTTGCTTAATTGGCTGCTGGCTGCCGCCGATAGCCTGGCAAAAACAAAAATGAATGGTGAATTTTACGAGGGTAATATCTCACCATATACGTTCGTTGGAAGTTCTTTAAGTTAGGAAAAACTTAATAGTTTCAAATTCTGGCACTTAGGCTGATTCAAGATTTCCTTGCATTTAAAAATATTTTCAAGGTCACACCACTTTCGCTTACACTGGAAGTCGACATTATCATTCTTATTTTAATTCGAACGCCCTGTATGTGATTTTGTTTGGATGCCTGAGGACGAAAATTTTTACAGTTATAATACTATTTCTAACAGCAGAAATCTGTATTCACAATTGATCTATCGCATGTGAGGTATCCAACATCTGATAAAGACTGTATATTTTTGGATAGAATTCAACTCTGCATCTATTTGCCACCATTTTAATCCGTTCGAATCTGAATGTAAAAAACTTAGAAACAAATATTTTCAAAATTGTCAAATTTGTGGATAACGCAACCACAAACAAAAACTTTTTTTGTCATATTATCACAACAAAAATTCATTAGTAATACCACTAGAGGTCAAAAAATTTCCGGATTTAATATGGCCTCGTGTGGTATTCCGTAACCTCAAATATTTAAACAATAATAACAAATAATGAAACCGGACGTCAAATCTTCTTTGATAAAACTAAAATTCTTGTATGGAATTCTTCTAGCATCAAAAAATTGGAAAATCTATAAGCAACCAAACAACCTTAACCGCGACTCAGGTGCTTTCTTTCACTTTCACCTCGACAAAAACCGATGCAGGAGGAATCCAGATTTGTAAATAGTAAGAAAGCTCTTTATCAAATTATTTAGACCTTTTAGCATAATATCAACAGAATTCTAAGTAGTCTATTAGATTTTGAGATATCAAATTTTATCCCTAAGCCCTATTCTACACCACACTGTGATCCAGGACAAAGGGAATAAGATAAGACAAGTAATTGGAAGCGTTGTGACTTTGAAAACATTCTTAAATCGCGATAAATCGATCGCCCTTGACAAGAAACACAATTAACAAACATAACTTAGACAGTATAACGACTACTAGCGGAAGTACTAGGTCCCAAGACTTAACTTAGTTTTGATCTCACGCTAAGGATTGTCTAGATAAGACTTGAATAACCTCAAGTCTCCAGAATTTCAAACCCCAAGTTTTTCCTAACCCCTAATTTCTCAAAAATGTTTAATGGATTGCTTTTCGAAACTACTTACTGGTCCAAGGAGGAGTCGGGCGGAACTTTGAACACGTCGACGATTTTATTTATGGTCTGCGCGTCGTAAGTGACCTTGAGCGGTTTGGTGACGACTTTCAGCCTCTGGTCGCACGTCTTGTCGATGGGGTTCGTCTCGAACATGATATCGACGAAACACTTGAGGGAGCTCGTCTGCAACTCCTCGGGAATCAATAATTTTGGCACGTAATCGTCCTGCCTCAGACCGTCGGTGATCAGATAATCTATTTGCACGCGGGCTCTAAAAATCGAACAAACCGATGAAGTCGGATAAGAGGGAGACGGCGCTAGGCTCACTTCATAGCCGCGGCTGCTACTCGCGTCTCTAACGTCACCTTCACACCGCTCAAACTCGAGAACAGTATGGTGGTCGAGTCGTCTCTGAGTTCGACCTCGAGCGACCTCAGCAAAAAGCTGACCGACTTGTCGGTATAGTCTTCGGGATAAGCGGCGAGTTCCGCGCTTTCCTGGTATCCGATCGCTTTGTAAAGACGCGCCTTCTCTTCCGCAGTCATTTCTTTCTCGAACTGCTTCACTAAAATTATGGCCAAAAACTATACCGACCCGGGGACGCGATTCCTCCTCTTGGCTTGTTCAGAGCTTACCTAAAACTGGCTCGTATTCTACTCTGTACCTGCTTATATATTGTTTGAGGCGGGTGGAGCTAAAGGACGGGCATGAGCATTGACTCGGATCATTCTTTCCCATATTTTTGAAAGACAAAGACCTGGGTCGCGGCTAAGATTGTTTGGTTGCTTATAGATTTTTATTAATTCTCGGGTTTTTCGTTGGTGGAAGTATTGATTACATGCATGATTGTATCTATAAGTGAACTAACATTCTTAATAATGATTCAATGATGATTACCTTTCACCAATATGGGAATCAGTCATCTGAGACAATATTCATGCCCATCCTTTAGCTCCGCCCCCCGCCTAACCAACTACTAACCAAACAATATATAAGCAGGTACAGAGTAGAATGCGAGCAAGTTTCAGTTAAGCTCTGAAGAAGCCAATATGGTAAAATAAAATTGAAACGGCTGACTTGGTGGTTTTCCAATGAAGCACATGGAAACTCCTTCCTTTTTCCAAGTCAGATTTGCACAATTGAGTTATCCTATGTAGACGTAGGGTTGAATTAAACAAAGAAGAGGAAAGGGACAAAATAACTAACCGTTACGTCTATCATTTGCTCCGATATACAGTGTTTTTCACCAACCTTTTAATCAAAAGTATATTGAGATGTAATTTAGAAACCCCTTTCAATTTTTGGGGTTAACCTAAGTGCCAAGTGTACTTTTTTTTAAATTTTCAACATTCTCGCACTTCCAGTTCAACCGAAAGTTGCTGTCAACTTGCTTGTTTCAAAGGTCCAGTACAAAGTTTTGAACAGATTTTACGTATAATTTCCTACACCTATATTTAACCGTTATTGAAACATTTAACATTGAAAAAAACATCCACCACTAGCTTAACCAACCAATTTCTGAAAATTTTATCCTTATATTTGGTTTAAGAGGTCTAAGAATTTAAGTTCACGTTTCTGTTATTATTATTATTGTCTACGTTTTACAGGGTGTGGAAAATTAGACCACAAACACTTTAAAATTGTGATTAAAGTGGTATTTTTTTTTTCAAATCAGACACTGTAACTTTAAGTGTTATCAAGTCCAGGACTTATTTCTCTATCAAACTGCTTTAGGGTTACCTATTCACAATATTCACCATATTCACAATAATTAGGTTTTTTCACAGTCTCAGGTAAACATTTTCCCTTCTAATACTTGTTTATGGAAAAACAATTATTACTATTACTGTCATTATTACTATACTACTTATTACATTTGACACTATAATTATTTTTCCATAATAATAACGCACATTTAAATATGAGTTACATATAAGCCACGGCGGTTCATTTGAACCACCACGTCATCAAAAACGGTTTTATATGCTTACAAATTGCCGTGGATTTGTCTAGCGCATCTAAATCCTCCTGGTTGCTTTTGGATCCGCCGAACCAGCCGGAAAACCATCCGCTCTTATTTTCCGTTTTTTTGTGGATCTCTTCCAGCCGTTCCGTTTCCAGCTCGATCCTCTGCCTAATGATTACGACGCTAGTCAAATCCAAGTTTTTCTCGCACTCCGTAATCCTCTCTTTTTCGTTTGCGTTAGCCTGGAAAAATATTTAAAACGTAATAATCATATATAACATCACATATAACAGAGTTTATCCCTCCCTATGGAAATATTACGCTCTAAGGACCGTGCACTGTGGTAGATTTTGGTATGGTCTGGAATAATATTTATATTTTTGTAGTAGGCTATGTAATGTTTGTTAACCATAGCAATAACAAAAGAGTGCACTTTTTAGACGTATGGTAGTGCTTAAGTCAGATGTTTGACACATCCTCCTTAGAAGTCAATATTTAATTAAAAGTAACATAATTTTATTATCCGCATAACAAGTTTGATTTTACAAGTGCCATTTTTTTCTTTTTTACAGCATTTTTAATAATAATAATTTAATAGGAAATTTTTGTTTATTTCATGTGTATAGAGAAATAAAATTTTGCAAGGTTGACATGTGGGAATAAAAGTTTTAGAAATAATTGAAAAACCCTTACGCATTTTTTTAGTTGTTTCTTGTACAACTCTCCGTATTCTCTGCCCATGTTCCTATGAGCGAGCATATGCGCCCAGTCCCAGTTCTGTCTGCGCCTTTTCACCTCACCTTCGAGGACACATTTATAGGCGAAATGCCACCACTCCTTGTAATGGCCCTTGTAGGACTTGACGTCAGGTTTGTATTTACCTTAAATGATTTACAATTGAGACAAAAGATCAAATCTTTTCAGATCTAAACCTACGGTAAGGTATGCCTTTGGACATTCGGTCCATGGAGTCTGCCAAACCTATTATGTCGCGATACTGGGCTTTCGTTATACCAATAAAGAGTTTGCCCATGTCTAAGTTAAGATGGTACATTGGTAAAGAGTAGGGTTGGTCTTCTTCATCCGGTTTCGGAACCATCCTTAGCCTTGCAGATGCTACTATTGGTCCGAGGACTGAAATAAAAATTTAATTATACGTATTTACGAGAATTTAAGAAAGTTCCATCCATTTAAAATAAAACAAGCATAATATAAAACTTCAAAGAACGAATAACATTTCTGCAATGATTCATTTGACCTACTGCAGAGTACCACATTGTTTTTTATACTATCCTATCTCACCTACTGGAAACCTGAACAAAAAAAATAAAACCGCCCAAAAAGTAGTACAATAAAATATTCACTTAACTAATTTTTTTTTTATTAATATTTTCCAACCCCAAATGTTAATTTTTGTAAATAAAAGGAAAAATATACAAAAACAAGCAATTTTATTTAAAATAAACCAACTGTAGTTGTAGCCCGGAGGTTTTTGATCATTGGAAGCTATGTCTGTTTGTAGTCTTGTGACGAGGTCCTGCCTCGACAGCTGATCATATAAATCGCTGTTGCAGTTCCAATATACAGCAAGTCCTTCTAGTTGCACCACCTGGTGGAGAAAAAAATCTACCAAAAGTCCATACAAATTTTATCTGTGACCTAACCTTGTATATTTTAGACAAATCATCAGTTATGCCTTTTTTCCAATTAGCATCAGTACTCTCCACATTTAATTGCGCCAAAGTCACCCCCAAAGCGAAAGGGTGATTGGGATGGGTTACCCTATCCTCATACCTGATATGAATGTTTTTTATATGCAGCTGTATGTTTTTGATAATCTGCTGCGTCAGTTTTTGAACAAAAGAAGGATCAGCTTTCGGCTTGTCCTTCTCTTTTTCCGCCTTTTTTGCATTTTCAATCTTTTCTATTTCCTTTTTCCTCACTTCAATCAATTTCTTGTCCTCTTTCAGTGCGTCGTACTTAACTTGAGAGTTGGGTTCTGCAAAAAGATAGACATCTTCGATGGAAACAATAGTCGGGGAAGTGTAAAGGCTCTTCCACGGAATTTTCAGGACAAGTTTGCCGATTTTTCCATAAACAGTTTGTATAGGCAAATCGAGATCATCCAATGCCGATGGCTTGAGGACCAAATCTTTAAGCTGCACATCCCCTGAATAGAATACACAAGTAAGGAACTGGGCCCCACGGCGTGTTAGCCTTCTTACCGCCCCATATGCCTATGTTCAGCTGGTTTCCATCGAGATTTTCAACAAAATCGCCAAGAAACTGATTTAGGACCTGCGAAACTGCGCTTTCAAACACCATTTTGATAACGCTCTTCTTTAAGAATCAATGCCCGATAAAACGTCCATCAATTGAAAGTTAAAAAATATGTAACGGCTATGCCGATTTTAACTTAATGAAGAACCGCTTATTATAGCTGATGACATCAACAGAGCAAGGTTAACTTTCGGCACCGTTAACGGTCATATAAATGTCACAATTTAAGCTACCGAGTTTACATTTCGACTCGGTAAATAAATAGTGATTTGAATTACTTATCAGCTTTAACGATCAGTAATTATGTATTATCAGTTGCTTTACGCTATGAGCATGACACATGCCCAACAAATGTAAATAAACAGAACAGGACATTTAAAACATTTTGACATTTCGAAGGTTACGTAATTTCTTCTTCCTCTCATTCATGGAAGCCTTAGAAGCAAAAAATATATAATAAAAAGTTTCTTCACACATAAATTATTTCGAAAACCTACAGAAATTTTATTTTGTTGGAACTGATCTTGGCTGTGTCATTTTATTGTCCGTAATCATAGTCGTGATTCGGATTGTAAAGATGCCTGATGAATGTCAGAATGGAGCTGACGAATTTGTCAAATTATTAATTATGTCACATCGAACGCCTTTTTTACCATAGGAAGCCTCAAGCATCGACTATAAATTTCCCTATAAAATATTAAAATGCGCATCTCTTGATAAGTAGTGACTAGCACCGACATGTTGCCTAATTTATTTTTTTATCAACGTATTAAGTGTGGCAACTGTGTTCGTTCCAACATTTTGACAATTGTGCAAGGGGCGTTCGTCGAATACCAGTCAACAAAAGTTGGCGACGCCATTTTGTGTATTCCTCTGATTATTTAATTTTATCCTGGCCATCTCCAAAGCTATCCGTGTGTTTTTCGTGGAAATGTGTCTGTGATATCCGAGTTCGGCTCCTCTGGTCCGTATTTCTTTGTGATGTGATAACGTAGAACATTTATTTCGGTGTATTGCTTCTGAGCTTAGTAGTTTTCGGGTAGATAGCAAAGGGAACGGTCATTTAAAATGAGTACAAAAGATGACGAGTACGATTATTTATTTAAGGGTGAGTAGAATCTCTGTCATTGTTTGTGTTTTTCCTTAAATTCGATCCATTGTTTTTTTTTAATTTGATAAACTGACATGTCATCAACATACGTCAAAGGGTCAAACGTTGACAATAATCAATCAGTACCTCCTTATTTTCAATTACGCAGCGTAAAACTTTACTTGCAAAACGCAGATCGATCGGAATATGTCTCATTAAAGTATTAAAAAAAAATAATTATGCTATCTCAATGTCATTGTATAATCTAATGTACCCCAAATACATTTTCGATGGACTTTCCAATTTCCTAAATTATTCCTACGCGATCGTATCTTTGTTATTTGTTATTGTACAGTATTTTACTAGTTTTAAATAAAGATTGACGTTAATACCGCCAGACAACCGGTTTTAATTAGCGATGATTCCCTGTTGCACTGAGATCATCCACTTACACCTTACCATGCGATTAAAGATTATACAAAAGGTTTTGTTATTGCAGTTGTTCTTATTGGGGATTCAGGTGTAGGCAAGAGTAATTTACTATCGAGATTTACTAGGAATGAATTTAACTTGGAATCCAAGTCAACGATAGGAGTAGAATTCGCTACAAGGAGTATACAGGTATGTTCACTAACCTAAGCATCTTACGTGATGAATGTGCTTTTTATTATTGGGTTACATACTGACGTTTAACAATAATAGTTAATCAGAAGAAAACGTATTTTTATTTGTGTTTACGACAACGCTGTTAAATAATAACCTCATAAACACCCGCAGAAAATGTCAAGATGCTTTTCTGAGGGTACTAGTTCATGATTTTCGTACAAGTCTGGAAAAGTCGGTACAACTGGCAGACATTTTCAGTATGTGTTTTATCATGGCGAGCCTGAAAGTTTCCAGCTTCTAAAGTATGGGTATCGATTTGGTATAGTTAAGTGGTATAAAAAGAGTAGACTTTTCAGATATTTTTCTCGTTTTGGTTCATGGGAAATGGTTCCAGTGTCAAATTTTTAAATGCGACTCCCTGCATATTTTTGGACACTAAATTATCATACATTGTTTTCTTTTTTACTTTATCGAGAACAACATTTTGGGAAGGTTTCTTCCCAGCTAGTGCTACTGAATTTCGTTGGTACCAGGTGGACGGGAAAACCATAAAGGCGCAAATATGGGACACGGCTGGCCAAGAGCGTTACCGAGCTATAACTGCGGCTTACTACCGAGGCGCCGTTGGGGCTCTTCTCGTCTACGATATCGCCAAACATCTTACCTACGAGAACGTCGAAAGGTATTGTCAGAAACATTCAACCAAAATAGGGACCCAAAAAAAAAAAATATCGAAATACTGCAAATCAATCATAAATTAATTAAATTGGCTAGTCTGGCAACACCGCATTCCCCAAAGCCGCACATTACATCATTTGCCTCTAATAAAATTGGTGAAAGCTACATATAATTCAAAATGATAAATTAATTCAAAATTTTAATGAAATTGGAAACAACTGTTACTAAATTCACTTTCATTGTATCTTTGCCTAGCACACTGCTTTTGGGCTCAAATGGTGCAGGTCTCACTTGTGGTTCAATCATCTTGGGTACTTTCATTTGTTGCCAAACTTTTCTTGTAATTGCATCGTTTTAAATTTGCTTAGATGGTTGCGTGAATTGAGAGACCACGCCGACCAGAACATTGTCATCATGCTCGTTGGCAATAAATCCGATCTCCGACACCTGAGGGCGGTCCTTACTGAGGAGGCCCGCGGATTTGCTGAACGAAACGGCCTCTCTTTCATCGAAACGTCGGCCCTGGACTCGACCAACGTTGATTTGGCTTTTCAAAACATACTTACAGGTAGACTCCTAGTTCCAGCTTTTCGGTCGGCGGTGTTTATTTGCCGCTTTTTTTTTGTGCAGAAATATACAGAATCGTGTCGCAGAAGCAGATCCGGGATCCGCCAGAGGGCGACACGATCCGGCCGCAGAACGTGGAACCGATCGACGTGAAACCGACCATGAACTCGGACGGCGTGCGTAAACAGTGTTGCCAGTAGACGCAATTTTTCCCCTCTTCTTAGATTTTCGTCACTAAAAATGAAAACGTAGCGGATGTCGTGTCGCAGCAGCAATCAGTTTCGTTTTTTTCCCGTGAACGGGGAGACTCCGTTTTCCAATCTTTTGGAAGTTTGAAGACGGTTTGCACTGCTACTTTCGGATGTTCAGTTTTTTTTTTAATTATCTTCATTATTATTTTTTAAGATTGATTATGTATAATATGTACTCGCCCTATACCTCCTCCCGCCCGGTTATGAGTTGCGTCGGGACGCGTCCTTTCCCCCCACTTCTGCCTTTACGCCGGTCGTTCTCTTTTCGAGAAAAATATAAAAAATTAAATCTAATTATTATCACAAGGAATTATTAATTTAACAGTAATAATACAATATGTCTAGGTAACGTTTCAACTTATGCTTACATAAAGCCATGTGATTATATAAATATATATATATTTGTAGTATAATTTCGAGGTGCATATTTATAAAACAAAATATACTTTTTTCTGTTGGATTGTATTTGTAAATTTTAGAGTATTAAAAGTACTAAAATTTTAAGTTTTTCAAATGTTTTTTTTTGCTTTGTCATTTCCATTGGGGATACGGAGAGTAATAATAATAATAATAATAATGTTTATTATTTATCGTATAGCATAAAGTTTGCTAAATTAGGATAAATAAACGCCGGTGTGTCAGATTCTTGCGCGAGGCACGTTCTGTTTTACCTACATGTCAAAAGTACTTAACAAAATAGTCGAGCAATCATTTTATGTAATTTTATATAGTGACTCAATGAATAAAAGAAAAATTATATAACATAGTGAATGTGAATTGCTGTAGGAAGGGGGAGATCACAAGGGAGGAAGAAACATGTTATTTTCCTGTAATTAAGAGAAACCAAATCAATTATTGCTAACCTAACAGAGATTTCTTTAATTTATTTTTAAATGCAAAAAAATCAGGTAATTCAATTAAAAGATGCTGAATTAATATGATGACAGATACAAAAATGGTTTCTATGGTTTGGTATTGGTAATTTTCTATCGTATAAATTGCAGTGATTGTTTTTCCTATTTTAGTTGTAAAGACCTGAAATCTTTCCTAAATTAGGGTCGCACTAATTTGCATATAATAACAGGCGAGTTCCGTGAATGAAAGTAATATGACAGTGGCGTTAATACAGGTAGTTTATTAGAATAATATAGTAATAATTATACGTGATTACAAGTATTGAGATAGCAGGTAATTGGGATATGAATTATTCTAAGATCAAGTAAAAAAAAACTTGTATAGAGGTAATATGAAATAGATAAATCGCAATAACTATTATTAAAAAAAAACTATTTACCAAACAACTTCAATTGCGCATTTTGGTCTTCGTGGTACGATAGCGCTGAAAATTAGGTTTAGTTTACTTAGGCAAATTTTTGACGAATAAGTTAGAATTTCTCGGTAACATGTCAGAAATTCTGACATAAGTTTCATAAGGGTCATTGCGAATCAAAACATCAGATATACAGGGTAATTCACAAAGAAAGGGCATTCTCTAAACTGGAGGTACTACACAGACTGAGCTCAACATGCTTCAAACAAATGTTGCTGGGTTCGTTAGTATAATAATAAAAATTGGTTGGTTAGGTTTTTTGAAGCGCCAATTACAAATTTTAAATTTATTTAAACGTTGCTCCTAAGGAGTGGTAGTTTCACCATTTCTTCTGTCAAGTTGTGGTTTGAACATAATGTAATTTGAAAGAATTTCCAGTTTTCATGGAAGTGATGTCTAACTTTATTGATTTTGGCTTATTTGCGTTTAAAAAGTGGAAGGTATTTTATAAATACTTAAAATCAATGTTTAACGTTAAAAATTTTGATAATAGTATTTAATTATAGTTTTGTCCCAATCGTAGTCAGAAACGTCATCGTATCAAAAAATCAGTTGACTGAGAGAAATTTAAAATTTTCCAGACAGTTCGTGACTGCGGGTATAACAAAGGTAATATTTTGCTATCTAGTACCCTCAGTTTAGAAGTTGTTTATTGTTTTTGACTTATTGTCAGAAATTTTGACTTATTTTTCAGAAATTCTGATGTGTTTCCGAAAAATTCTTATTTTTGGTGGCCTTTCAGCGCTATCGTGTCAGGCAAATAAAGGGTTATGGAGTGTTTTAGTAGAGAAACAAAGGGACTTTGCCCCACATAACCGCACTCCGCCCCGGAGGCCCCCGACTTTTGGCCCCCCGCCCACGGACGACGGTTAGGTTAGGTTGGCACCACGGACGACGGTTTGAATGGCACCACGGATGACGGTTTGGTTAGGCAGCCCCCCGGGCGAGTGGCTCAAAGGGTCCTTCGGGCACCATGGGCGAACGGCCTATGGTCGGGGGCCCCCGGAGCGGAGGGCGAGTGGCCCGTGGGCGGGGGGCCAAAAAAGTGAAGTTATGTGGGGCAAAGTCCCTTTGTTTCTCTACTTGTTTTCTACCGTGTTATCAGTTTCTCATATTCTATTTTCTCGATTCTCCGTTTCAATCCTTGCATTTTAAAAGTGTGTTATAGAACAACTCCGCCTAATGCCGGTAATACAAGAACTTATGAAGCAACTATGAAAAAAAAGAGAATTTTCATTCAACATGCGCATGTGCGTCTCGTTCTTAACCCTTGCGGCATTCAACAACCAACATGGCCGGTGACAGGTCGTCAATCAGTTTCGATGTGACATTTTTACAGCACTGTTTTCAGTATGATAGCTATTAGAAAAGATATAGTGGTAAAAATTGGTAGGCATTGATATTTCCTCACAGAAGGGAATTATTTTCACCCTGTACAATATTAAGCCTTTGAAACACGGCTAAGACCACAAAGTTTTACAGTTCAATAATGATTTATAACTCTCCCATTATGAAACAGAGCATAAAAGTACAAATTTGTCTGGGTATTGATGACGACACATGCCAGTAAATAAATCTCGTTGATGACGCTTTACTCGCTTTTGCCAGTTTGTGATTTCCTATGATAACACAATATGTATTAAAAAAACAAACAGGAGCAGAATAAAGTTGTAGAAATTACATACAATTCAACGATCTGCTTATTCCAAAACTAACCTTAAGGGAAGCTTAATACGTTCTTCGGCTTAAAATTCGCAAACGAAAACGGGTAATTTTCACCAGTGTTTCTTCTATTGCTAGGTAGATGGCGCCACATAAATGAAACAATCATTTTGAGAACTTTAATTAAACACAAGTTACTCAACAATTGGCCTTAATAAAATATTTGTTATCAAGATTCTGACGGCAAAGTTGCAGCAAATATTGTCCACACGTTTCGCCGGTTATTTAATTAAAAAAAAGATCTTTTAGAAATATTTATTTTACAGTAAAGCCTCACAAATTTTTGATACTACGTTATTACACAATGTACGAAGAATCATATATAAATTTCCATTAAATTCCAATCCCCTTTCCTAAATAACAAAATTGAGCATAAAGCATGATGTTAAATTACACGATCCATTCGTTTCCCTTTTCACAAATTGTTGACGGGAAAAATATTTACACCTCGTCCTCTTAAGAGTTTAAACTAGTTCAGTTTTCATCCGTTAAAATATCCGTTTTTAAAATTTTCCAGCCAGTTGACGATCGATTGATAATGTTTTTTCATCCACCTGGTATTCGCTTCTATTTGCTCGATAGATTGCTCCGCGGTTCGAGTCGCGATACCAAACTCCTCCTTCTTCCTCTGGAAAAAGGACTTGAACTGCAAAAAAGTTTCACAGTATTAATCACGAGCGAAAAAATTTCATGGTAATTATTACGTCATCGACCTCTTCGTCCGTGTTGAACTTTGCCGTCGACGTTCTCACCAAACTACTCAAAGACATTGAAGATGGACCCAAACTTTAACAAAAATAAGTACACTTAAAAATTCGTTTAGTTTAGCTGTTATGCTTTAAATAAGACTTTTTAAGACTCATTCCTGTTACTACAAAACGATTATTGCCCTTCTTTTCTCTTGGCGTCATCACAATCCCGTCCGTGCGTTAACCACTGACGACTGAGCACATTCGCCAAAAGAAGAGAAAACACATAATAAAACAAGCCTCCCTGGAGCATGATGGTTACTTCCAGTTCCTTTTAATTAAGGCATTCTCAGGTTTTTGGAAGTAAGTCACCATTCACCGAGAAAATAACAGTAAAAACAAAAACAAAACAAGATTCGGAAAGTTTCAGTTAAATACTTTTGTGCTGTGCACAGTTAATCGATCGTAGATGGTTGGCTCAATCCCTATTACCGTCCGTTTTTATTAATTCGACAAGGCAAGGGATGGCGTGGTAAGCGTCAATTGACATTTGTCTTACCGTGAAAATCATTCCGCCAATTTTTCAGTCCAGTGCGTGCGCTAATACTCGGATTAAAACCACCAATCCGTTAAAGTTTTTTTTCCACCGGCAAAAGAGGTGACACAGGACTTACATTCAGTGTTGTTCCCTCTATTAGTCTTGCAGGTAAGTTCATTTTTATTTATCACTTTATTTAACAACGAGTGCGTTATAAATGTAAAAATTTACGGTTTGTTTGTGTCATTGTGATTGTAATAAAAATGAGTTAAAATAAATACAGAGGCTGTTTATTTTTTTCCTATTCCAAAATATCAAACTTTTTTGCTTATTATTAAAATAGTTTTACTTACTTCTGTGCACTTAGATATAGTTTTTTTAAAAGTATTTTTACAAGTTTTATATATATATATATATATATATATATATATATATATATATATATATATATATATATATATATCTATATATATATATATATATATATATATATATATATATATATATATATATATATATATATATCTTGCAAACATTGACCGATTCAATTATATGACGACTATAGACTTATAAAAATTAAAAAATAAAAAAGTTCGCATTTCTATTCTAATTCCTTGATTCATATTCGAACTTTGTAGCCTTAGAAATACTAAGGGGGGAGAGAGGGGAACACATCGCTAGGCCATAATCTTGTGCGTAGAAGTTATCCGTGACTTGAAGGTAAGAGTTATGCAGACAGCACATATTGTATTATTCCTTAATCTGGCATCAACAACGTCTAGCGATTCCTCCAAGGGCACATTGGTATATAAACTTCTCACTTCAAACTTGTATGATCGTTGTTGAACGTTGTAGTCTCGTAGCCTTTGAATTAAAATTAGTCTGCACTTGATAACGGGTAGAGATACATCTGGCCGACACATTGTGTAAATAAAAAATTAAGACAAAGTTCGACAATCTTTCAGTATTTCTACTGAATCAGTGTCTACCACCTTCTAGTGAACGTTTGTCGCCTTAAATTCTAAGAGGAATGAGTATAAAGGATCCTTACTGTTCGCGGATTCTATTCCAATTGCTTTTCAAAAACTTGTAAGCTAAGTCGTGTCCGACGGGGTTTGCCGACACCGCAGCGAATACCCTCGCGATATCGTGTTTCCGTATTCCGGAGTTGTCCGTTATGGACCATTCCAGGTACCGGCTCAGTATCCAGGTTTCCTTGGAACAGGCCAGCGCCGACAGCAAAATTTCTTTGTCGGTCGCCACGTTGGTCTTGAGGTAGCGGCTCCAGGCGAAGTCCCATTCGTCCAGACCACCTACGCCGATGGCCGTACAGTACACAGTTTCGCGCAGGTCGGGGTTGATGCTGTAACCAGAGTGTTTTCACATTGTGGCGTTGGGTGGTACTAGAATTATTAAACTTAAGTTTATGCAATTTTGTATCGGCTCAAGAGAACTGCTTGTGCCTCGCGAGTTCTTGTGTTTCTCCTAAAATCCTCAGAATTGCATATTGTGTTCTAGTTCACTCAACACCATGTAGTTTTCGATTTCTCTAAAAATTTCAAGTATTTTTCATGCATGCCTAATACCCAAATTTAACCGTTTTTGAAAGAATGACAAATTAATAATAATAACAACTATTATGTTTTTGAGCGTATCCAAATGAATTAAAATATTAACGATGGACGGTTATGGTGATGTATGTGAATTATTTTATACAGCATACCTAAATAGACCTCAATTTACGAACCGGGGATGTAAACGACTGACCAGAACTAACACGAAGGATGGAGAGATTCTAAATGTTTTATTATCAATTATAAATAATCCACAGACTTGCATGGCTTCGTTATTCGACGCAATTGCCGATATTGCTCAAACGAAAATCCTCATTGAATGAAGGAACGTAATATCCAAAATCCTCAAAAGCTATGTATGGGTTGGAATAATTGGTGGAAATATTATATGGCCTCTCTTTATCAATAGCGTTCTCACCGGTGAAAAATATCACCCAATTAGCTTTACTATAACCGCATATGGGCATCTCCCCATCACACACAAAATTGCTGGATCGCGACTATCGACTGGCTGCCTGGTTCACCAGATTCAAATCCCCTAGAATTTTTTCTTTAGGGCACCTCAAAACTGAAGTGCGCAAAATCAAATCCAACACTGACTGACTCATAGGAGCCGATAAGAGCCGAAATTTGAAGTTTACAACCGATTGCTCTGCAAAATATTGTACGGGAATTTAAAGACCGTCCGTGCGAGCATTTATTAAAATAGGTAGCTTCTTTGTTGTTAAATGGTTTTTATTGTTATTTAAGTTTACCAATTCGTTAAAGTCATTAATTATGTCGTTCATAAATTAAGTTCTAATTTATTGATTTTTTGTCATTCCGGAAAAAACGATTGGATTGGAGTAGGGGTATGTTATACGAAAAATACTTACAATTTTAAGAGTAATCCAAAAATGGAATAAAAACATAGCCTTTCTATTTAAAATAAGAATGTTTTGTAGTCAGGAAAATGTGACACTGCCGCTAAAGTCACCTTTAGAATAAATTCTCGGTAGCTGCGTATACTTTTGTAATTGTTGAGAGCGATTCTTATCTAATGTTATTATTGTTAATAAAAGGTGAATAAAAAGTGTAGAAATATCATCATATCATCAAATGATATGATGATTTTTAAATTTTAAATTGTGAGTGCCAGTATCAGCAAATTTTCGAAAAAAAAAAGTTTAATACAAAAGCTGTAGGGTACAACGAAAGATTTTCTTCGTTTACCTATAAAGGGTGATATAAAAATGAGAGCCCTTTGAATACTGATTTCAAAAATATTTATGGTTGTTTTTGATATTTAAAACAGAAAATGTAAAAACTAAAATTTCATTTAAGACATGAATGATAAACAGTTTAATAATTAATATCTACTATATAAACAATTGCAATCATTTTTAATATCATTGGAAAACATATTTAGGCGCGGTTAACTCTATTCGTTTATTTCTTTATTTAATTACTGCGACCAATTGATGAATGTGACCGGCCACCATTAATTTCTACACATCATCCATAGCCCTGTTTAGTTTTTCTATAGATTAATTAATCCATTTAAAATGATTGGTATTTTTATTATTTATTACAGTCCTAATTCCTTCTTTTACTATACTAATGTTTTCTTGCCTATCAAAATAAATTTTATTTTTTTAATGATAAAATAAAAAAAGTATCTAGAACCGTAAGGTCGATTTTCTGCAGAGCAATGGTGGAATTTTTTTGTCGGACACTCCTGCTGTTTAAAAGACGATTCATCAGTTCATAAAATTTTAAGAAAGAGACAGGTCTAACACGAGCTTACAAAATGTTAGTCTTATTTTTGTTTAGAATTATCCAGATTTTTCCAATACTATTATGCAAATCGCGAACTGTATCACATATGGAATTTAAAGGGTGAAAAAGAAACCCATAATTATTACTGGAAAAAATGCAGTAAAAGCGTACAACCTGGGAAATAGTATTCAGTAAATAAACTTTTTTGGAGACACCCTGATTCGTTGCCAGTATCAGAAAACAATAATATATATTAGACTATTTTGAATGTACTGATGGCTATATTATGACGCAAGGGCATCCCGATTAGGAATGGTTTACGTTTTTCTCCTCTCTATCTATACCTCTGAAGTGACAGTTTTAAATGCTTTTCTAGATGGTATAGGCCTATTATTGCCGCCATCACCGTGAGTTTTGTCATATTCGCGTCTTGCCGCAACTGCATTCTTGTTATTTTTAATATATAACACTATATTTAAACACTTTTTTCTGGCAAATAATAGAACGACTAATGGAAAACATGGTTTTTCCGTCTTAAATATCAAAAATATCCACAAGGCTACAAGATACAGGGCATTTCATAATGAGAAAATATGTTTTTATCTACTACTTTTTTATAATACATTTTTTTTGTTAAGATTTGAAGGAAAAAACTTAGGGGTAGACATTTAAAATGAATCACCCTCTACTCACAAATTTTCCTTATCAGGATTGGCGCTGTTCCTCCAATTCTGGAACTGCTGAACCGCTTGCAACACGCAGTCCTTCACTCCCAGTTTGCAAGCTTGGTTTATAATTTCCATCCTGTTCAGTACTCTCGTCGGGTCCTCTTTACTAGCCTCTTTGAATCCCAGTTCTTCGTAGAAATCTTGGAGTAGTGCCGTAATATACACCTAAAATTATTTACATTGCCTAACGTGGCTCAAAAATTGCACAGGGTGAGTTAGCGATAGAGTAAAGGTTTTAAAAATTATGAGTAAACGGTAAATATAAAAGTTGTAAAGATTGTTAGCGTGGACATTTAAAATTACTTTAAAGTATACAGGGTGGCTGAAAAAAGCTACAACTCAAACCTGCACTTTTACTTATTGTTGTTATTATTATTAAACTTCGTTTTGAATTCGTTTTGAAATTTTTCAACTTTTTTTTATTAATACCTACATACGATTTTTCTTAAACGGCACATCATATAGAGCGTGTTTGCTGCTAATTGAAGGTCAATAATTAAGTTGGCGATTTTTGGCTCCATTTTAAAAAGAAAACTTCTTATGAACATATGTCTTTTGAGATAGCACTTTAGATATTTTAATGAAATTTGGCACACATATACCATGAATCAAGAGACATTATTTAGTGCACCACATTTTTTAAAAACATAGACCAGTTGCTGGCGTACGGAATTTCACATGTCATATTGATGGTATGCCACTGATTTCTCTTAAAATAAAAAATATTTTTTGATTATTTTCCGATGTACATTTTTAACCTAAAAAAATAAAAACCTTTTCTCTGCTTGGTCATAACAATATCGTTAATATTAAAATACTTCAAAAAATCGAAGCACGAATACGAAGTACGGAAACTTAAATAAATAAAACAAATTTAAATAAGAATCGTTTATTATTTATCTTGTTACTAAGATATGTTATTTCATTAAAACTATAAAATTAAAAAGCACAGTCTAATTTTTTTTCTGAAGGACACCAGTTGGCAACTAAAAACTAGACATTTTGTTCTAATTAGATATTTAATTCCTCACAAAAAAAAGTTCTCGATTTAACCAGTGAAGTGGCGACCTAATTAACCAAAATATTATTTATTTACAGTCGTTCAGTGGTACGCCACTGATTTCCTCAAAAAAAAAAACATTTGCATTCATTTGTGAGCAGATTTGAGCTCTTAATTTTTTTAGTCCGCATATCCCAATAGAGAGAGTATAAGAGTCACACAATTTAAGTCTAATCTCAGTAGATAAGTAGTCTTTATACATGTAAAAAACTTTCAGTTTACCGTATGACTTCTGTAATAAATAAGACAAGTGAGAATCCAAAAGCAGATTGCTATCAAGAAAGACTCCTTTGGAATTTGTTGACAAATTCAAACGGAGTACCATTCAAGAAAAACTTAATATCATTATACAGGATAATTTCCTCTTTTTTATTGCCAAAAAGAACAACCTGGCTCTTGGAATCATTTAGTATCAGACCATGGGCTTTGGAGATTCTACAAATCACTTCAAGGTACTCATTTATGTGTTTGAAAGACTACTGAAAGCTACATCTTTGTCCGAGAATGAGAAATATATTTGCGTATCATCAGCATATTGATAAGAATAACATTTATTTAGGTGCCTAGAGAAGTTAGACGTGTAACTCGGAACAATAAAGGTAATAAAATGCTGCTCTGAGGAACTCCCCTAAAATTAGTAGAAAGTGATACCAATGTAACCCTCTACCGGCGACCTCCCAAGTAAGTTTTCATAAAAGTAATAGCAGTGCCGTTTAAACCAAACAACTTTAATTTTAAAATAAGATTATGATTTAATGTTTTCTAATGTAATGTATTCAACAAAATCAAACAAGTATGTCTTGACACATCCTGAGTCCTAAAAAGGTCACTAGTGACATTAAGCAGTGATCGTACTGCGTCCGGACCTAAACCCTAAACCTTCAAAAATAAAGGCGTTATCGTAATGTTCTTGCAAGTGTGAAAACTAGTATTTTTTTAGAAAAATAAAAATTTTGGAAAAACTATCTGGTTTAGGTATGTATTATTATTTAATAAAAAGTTTGAAGACTTTGAAAACGAATTCAAAACAACATTTCAAAATAGCATCCTAACAATTTTTACAACGTTTGTATTTACCATTTTCTCATAACTTCTGAAACCAATGAGATGATGAACGTTATTCTATCATTGACTCGCCTTGTACTACGCCCTTACCTTGAACTTATCAAAATGGGCGGTCCTCACGAGCATATTGTGCAAGAACTCGAAGTTGTTCAGAGCCGCTTTCCACGCTACGTACTCTCTCTCGTTGACCAGGTACTTCGTCACGTTCAGGGCGACGTCGTAGCTAAGGTACCCGGCAAAGGCCAAGTTCAGAGCGTCGTCCAACATTTGCGCCCTATTCGTAGGGGTGAAAATAACGTGACCGTTGCCCAGGAGTTGGTTCATCAATTTCTTCCAATTCTCGACCTCGTAGTTTACCCTGTAGTACCCGGTTTGGTTCACGTTGATCAAGAACCACGAGACGTCAGCGTCAAGCGCGTTTTCCACGGTAGTTTCTTTCACGTTGCTCAACCACGCGTTGGTTTGGCGATCTTGGCTGTCCAGAATGGTGATGGGAACCCACCACAAGGTGTCGTCTTCGTGCTGTTCGTCTCTGTCTAAGAGGAACCGTTGCTGGATCAGCGTTACAGATCTGTCGGGTTGTCTCATTGCCGTCACTATCGGGTAGCCGGTTTGCAAGGTCCACGTGTCCATAATCTGTTTCACCGTTGTACCATCCGGCAGGGATTTGCTCGCCTGGCTCTCTTGGGTGAGAGTGTACCATAGGTCGTCTTGTTCGGCACTACCGTACATCCTAAGACATGAACTTTATTAACCAAAATGATGTTGTAGCTTTGTGTGCTGCTCTGAATTCATTACTTGGAGTGGTGATACCAACTCTATAAAAATTTTTAGAAAACAAAAGCTAATACTAAGGTGCATAATTCTGCCTTTCCGGACTCCATTTTCTAGAAAATCGATTGTCATTACCATCTTTATATAGCAATTTTAAAAAGACGAGGCTCCTGTCCGGCAATGCGTTCTACAGCCTCAAAGAATTTGAATTGTATTTGAGAGCATTTAAATGACTTTAATATTTTCTTTTTAAAATGAATCTTTGTTTTTTATGTCAAAGTTGTAATTTTTTACGTGATTGTTTTCTGACAAAATATATATTGTACCGGGCTTCGTGAATAAATTATCTATCTATCATCTAGCAGTATTTTTCATACAGATACAAATATCCTACCTGTTTTTCAAATAGGTATTCAACCCTTTGTGGAATACTTCTTGGCCGAGGAAATGCTGCATCATCCTAATTATGGAGGCACCTAGAAAACCACCTCGAGGGAATGTTTTTAAAATCGACTACCCTCACCTTTCGAGTACGAAATCCTGTCGAATATGTCGTTTACCTCGTCGGGGTTGTACACCTTAACGGAAATAGGATGCGATGACTTCAAGGAGTCTAGCGTGAACGACTCGTGGAGCTCGCTGACCAAAAATAAGTCCAAGTCTTTCCATTTTGGTTGAACCTGGAACCAAAATCGAAATAAACGAAATGGTTAACGAATTGAAAAATCCCAGAGACTTTGATCTTAACGGAGACAAACAAAAAAGGAAAAGGTTCTGAACAGAAAATGATGAACCATTTAGAGCAGACTACTCAAAGATTGCAGATGCTAAGTACAGAAACACAGAAAGTTTGCCAAAGTATGTCACCTCATGGGAACCGATCAACGAAAGAATGATTAGAATGAACCTTCAAAGTATTGGGAAGAAATTAATAAAATATATTCTTTGTTAAACTCGCGCTACTACCATAGAAAATATGGTTAATCTTATCCGTAATGCTGTAGCCAACCTTACAAGAGCTGAAGTTAGTACAGCCATAATAAATATATGACATAGGATAAATTCCTGCATACGAGCATTTTTACATTTATAAAGGCTTTTGATTTCCCTTTCGATCAAATGACGTAACGAAATTCATATCGTTGCATTATTACGTCAGAAAACGCTATCATCTCACTTATAGCAGGTTTGGGAAATAATGATTTCAAGTTTATTGAAATGCATTAAGCCGTTTTGGTTAGATATTTATTAGTTATTTCCGGAAATGTTAGAGCAATCCTCATCACTTTCCTTTTAATGATATAGTAAAAAGGATCTAAGAAAGATATGAACTTATCTCAGTTACAAAATACTGTTTACCCTGAGAATCACTAGTAAAATAATATTTTGCAGATTCAAGATGCCAATTACTGGTAGCCATTTCAGAATTTTTTTTTTTTGAAATTTTAAGGAACATCCGTTTGCCCACTGGCACATCCGGCATATATTAATGTCCATTACCGCGTGGGCTCCTAAGAATTCGACGTACGTAGCGAAGCCCTCGTTCAACCAGAGATCTTCCCACCAAGCCGGCGTCACCAAATTGCCGAACCATTGGTGGGCCAGTTCGTGGGCGACTACGTGAGCGATCCTCTGCAAACTGGACTTGCTCGACACTCCGTTCTCGTACAGCAAAACCGGTTCCCTAAGTATAACCGATACGCGTCAATTAAGTGCTCAGCGAATGTACCATTCCATATACCTGTAGGTGATCAGACCCCAGTTTTCCATGGCGCCTGCTGAGAAGTCTGGAATCGCGACCATATCCAACTTGGGCAGCGGATATTCGATTCCGAAGAACTGCTCGTAGTATTTGAGGATCGACGGTCCTATCTTGACGCTGTACTGGGCTTGGGATAGAGCGCTGGGTCGGGCCCATATCGAGCAATTGCCGTTGCTGATGTGCTGAAAGTCTGACACGACGAATGCCACCAGGTACGTGGACATTGGTAAACTCTCCTCGTAGTGGTCCCACGCATACCCCGGCAAATTATCTCTAAAATCGTTTTTCTCTAACATCACCTTCCTATCCTAAAGCCTTTTTCACACTTACACATGGTCTGATGTCTCCATCCTTCTCATATTCGAAATGGACGACATATTCTTCGGCCTCGCGATACTGATCTGGAATTTGGCCTTTAAAGCGGGCTCGTCGAAACAGGGAAATGCCTTCCTCGCGTCTGTCGCTTGGAACTGGGTGGCAGCTATCCACCTGAAAGTACTTGGTTCACCTACGACTGAATCCGCATAGTACGGTGACTTACCTAGTAACGCTGTTCTCTACGTAGCTGCTTCGATAAAAGCCCTGCAGCATGTCGTTAAGTACACCCTTAAACACTACGAAAACGTAATACTGATTTGTTTCCACTAATTCTTCATCTAGATCTATCACCAAGAACTGTTTTGCGGACACAGTTCGCACGTCTTTGATCGACACGGTGTTATTGCCGGCGTCCATCACACTAACCGTGTCTATAATGAGGTCCTGCGCGTGCAACGTTATGTTGCTGCAGGTCTTTGTTACTTCGACGAGGATCGTGACTTTGCCGTGGAATGTGAAATTGCCCTGTTCCAAGAACGGCGTCAGGTGCAGCCTATATGAGCGAGGTTTGATGGACCTTGGCAGTCTGATATCCAAATCCTTATCGATATCCAATGCGCCGTCAGTCTTGAAAGTGGTGGAAGGTGGAGGAAGAGTGACGACGGCGCGCATCGTGGTGGACACCGCTTCCTCTTGCTTCACTTGTACGGAACACGAGGTCGTCCTCGATACCTGTTCTGCGTCCCCAAGTCTCGTCTCGTTTTTGGGACACGTAGAGGTGAAGCTGTATACCAACAGGCCTGTGGCGATGAGGCATATGAAGAAGATGACTACCAAGATGATGGCCAGGGTGCGCGAGACAGTAACGAAGCTGGTCCGGCCGTATTTAGTGGTTACCGTGTCCATCATGGAGAGGTTTTCGTGATGCGTCATGTCGCTGCGCTCTGAAAACCCATTTTTCATTCAGAATAGTGTTTTAAACTAGCGTTCCTGGTGTAGTGTTTGTCGGTGAAATGTATCTATTGCTCAAATAATATTTGTTTCTTTATTCTGTTCCTAAATGTCAAATGTGATTGCCAAAAGTCGTGTATATTGAACTTACTTAGAATAAAAGCTATAGCATAAGAAAACAATATTTTACGATGTTGAGGAACAGTCCAGAGCCCCTTACGACCTAATTTAAAATTATGTATATCACTTCTAAAACAAATTTTGTTGCACAGGTAAGGCGGTATTTTATACTTAATAATTTTGTGGAAAAAGGTTGTGACCTGGTCCCTATATTTGTTAAACATACTAACAACAGATTTTTTTAGGTAAAGTGGTATATGGTGTCTGCGACTCACTCCATATACTAGTCAAAGACATGAATTTTGCACTTTCTGAATGCGATATTTTTCCGCAGTGTCAAGGCAGGGCACGAATACACTAATACAATGAGTCCGTTGTGATCTCACAAAAGTATCGCACAGGTTTTTTTATATTTCGAGACAAAGAATGATGTTGACCGTAGATTAACTTTAAACTACTATCACACGTTCTGAGTTTACTTGTCACATGTTCCGGCAATTTTAATTTTGAGTATAGAATGAAGCCCAGCCTCTTGCAGTAGTATAATGTTAGGTTATTAAATTTGATTTCAATATTCCTTCGTACTTGACTAATCTATTGGTCGTTACCAAAGAGTATACCCGATGATTTTTATTTAATTTTAAGAGATGGCCCGCAGCTATACCAAAAAACTTTTTCAAGTCGTAATTAATCCTCTCCTCTGCTCGTCATCACCGTAAAGGTCATATTTACAGTATTTTAAACACTTACAAAACTGAGAAGTACAAACATTTAGGGACTGCAATGCAAAATAAATATTATTATTATTATTATTACTTGTAAGTTGACGCGCCTGATTATTATTTCCCGTGTGCATGTAAAATTGGTCAATACGGTGCCTACTATCAATCAGGACTGTTGTTATTTTAATAATGGAAAATTTGACGCAATATAATTGCGAGCAAATTAAATCCGTGTCCCAATTAAATTTCCGCGTAACGAGATGCGAAATTAAAGGATATCTAACGGGTGACGCTTTCAATGTCGAAGCCTTTGTTGTTACCAAGCAACCTGGAAACGATTTATCCCGGCATGTTGAATATTAATTTGCTTGCTCCGTTCTGCTCAGTTATTTCATTTTATACAGTCTGTCCAAGATAATGATGGAGATATTGGAAACCATAAGATATACGACAATCGTAAAATTAGCAAAAAGTGGCAAAATTTAAAGATTGAAAAATGCCTGTCTGGAATATATTGTTCTTATTACTGACTGATAATGATCTCCCTAATAATAATATAATAATAAATAATGATATTCTTATCAATAGAAACTAAGATCTAGCATTGCGTGATTCTGGTAACAGTAAACTAACGCGCACAGACCTTAATGCTTTGTCACATCACCACCAAGCCCAAAAATTATCGGTTATCGACTCTCTTGTTTACAAAGCAGTAAAACTATATCAACCCGACTCACTTAATCCAGAATTAAAACACCATACATCTGCTGCTCTCTCTAATAATTTTCAAATTAGATGTATTGCATTCCATTCTATCACAAAATTCACTTCAATGGGAAATAAATGTTTCAGATATGAATGTCGAGAGGAGCGGAGGACTCAAGATTGATCCTTGGGATACTCCCAGTGTGGATTAACTACTGTTGTAGATAATCTGTTGCGGTCTTCTGTAGTAAGTAAAAGTCTATTAATTGCGTCGTCCTATCTTGAAAATTAAAAAAAAAACAATTTTTGACAATGAATTTCAGTGTCAGTTTTAGCAGAATAAAACAAGACATTTTGCTTTTTTCCTAAAAGATTTACGAAAACTGGTTCTTGAGCAAGAAGTCGCTCATGTATGCGAAAACTTTGGATAAAGTAGATAAGATATCAATTGGTCTTAACTCCACGAAGCTTTGGTGCATTACTTTTCAGAACAAACTAAATAAAAGATTTTTGCTCACGCTTTATAGATTGTAAAGTGTAAATTCGAAGATTTTTGTAAAAAACCCAATGAGCACGGTCTCTTGTAAGTTTAAACCTAGCGCAAGGTCGATCTTTTAAAAGCACCATCTCTCTAATCATCAAGTTGAGCCACGATGATGGAGGTTATGTAATACGAATGGTTTTTAAAGGCGCACAAATATTAATATAAGTTTCGTTAATATCATTTATTTGAAAAAGATAATCGCAAACCGACTTAGATTAAATTCAGAAAAACCTCTGAAAATGTGTTATTTTACGTGTTTTGGAATTTTTATATTATTAAAACTCCAACTCACCACTCAATGATCATATATATCTGGCATATTAAGTACATTGTCGGATTCTCTGTTGGAGAGAATAATGACACCCAACAGAGTCGGTGTATCTTAAGTTATTCGCGTTGGCTTATTAATTAATTAAGTTAAATTAATTTACTACTACAGCCCAAAATACCAATATTTATATCACCAACCATAATTAAATATTCAAAGCTAGGCAGAATCGTCGATAGACAAGTTCCTAAGATACGACCCTTTTGGTGGTCGAAACACAACTCCAAAGGCAAATTTTTTGTTGATTGTTCATCACACTAACAGAAATCACAAGGCACTCAATATCTTTTTCAATATTCTGTGGTACTATTCTTCAATTGATGTTATTTTTTCAATAAACAGACTGATCTAAGTTAAGTGTTTTGCTTTGTTATGAGTAAAGTTACAAAGTCGGCTAAATTAGCAAACTAGTAGCATTTTTTCCACTGATTACGATGGTGAAAATAGAAAAGCAATCGAATGTAGGGTTTAGAAATAAATGATTAGAATGTGGCCTTTTTTAAATGGAACACACTGTATATAGAGAACAAAAAAGGTCGTATGCAATATTAGCCTAAAATTGAAAATAACCTATGGTGAAAACTTAATTTTGAACAGCCGGTATAGCCACAACTGCACCTTTTTGACTATCAGCTCTTATTAATTCATACCCTGGTGTTTCCATCCAACCAAGTTTCAGATATGGCAAAAATATCGATGTTCATTTCAATAAAATTAACAATAGACTCATAACTGAAATCGACCGAACATTTAAATGACCTCAACTTATTTTTTGTATATTACTGATTTTGTTTTACTAAAAATTACACAACAACAACAAAACAACCGAAATTAGTAAAAAATAAAAATTTCAAACTACAACCACGAATAAAAAAGAAATTAAAACAAATGTGTTTTTTCTGCTTTTCTCATTATTGTTTTCAAATTCTTTATTCTTTTGATCCATTATTTTGTAATAATAATTCAATATTTATTTATTTATATCATCAGCCACTGCGGACCTTTTTTTTATTTTATTTTGGGTAAGCATAATTATTTTTTGCTCAATGCTCTTAATTAGTTTAGACAACAGCGATCAATTTGGATTGAAAATTTGCACAGTAGATTTTCTGCTAAAGCTAACCAGATGTATCTTTCCTACTATGGGGTTCTTCTTAAATTTCTATGTCACACGTCAGCCCGCTGAGGAGGCTATAGCGACCCAATACGCTTTAGCAGTTAATCAATGACGGTCCATATGGCTGAATGTTTTCAGTTCCCTCCGTTCTACGACGATTTGTCCTGCATGTTTATATCGCGCGTTAGCGAAAATAAAATGCACCATTGAGTACTGGTTGCTCAAAATACCCAAAACGATAAATCACCTGCAATGTTGCTTAAAATAGCCAAATTTGTGTCAGCGGGTCAAAAATCAGGGTTAGTATCTGTTTAATGGGGATTCAGAGTTGTATCTTGTGGCACATATTTATTTATTTACTTATTTTTATTTAAAATCTTTAATGCAAATTTAAAAAAGGGAAATTTGGTCTTACCACCGCTCACACTTGACCATATATGATATCGTACTATACAGGGTATTTTGTAATTGAATGTCAATAATTCAGGAGGCGATTTTTGGGTCCATTTAAAAAAAACTTCATATAAACATATGTTGTAGACAGATACAGGGCTGTAAAGTATCCAAAAAAAAAGTAATATCCTTAATACCACTTTAGATATTTGAATAAAATTGGACACATACGTCAGGAGGCATTGTTTAGTGCACCACTTTTCTTTTAATATACCGGTGGCGGTGGCTGTATGAATACGAAGTCCGTAAACTCTGAGATGTATTTTTGAAATCTTTATAATTATTTCATATCTGTAAGAGCTACTGATTTTGTTGTTAAGGCGGTTGTTTGACAGTTGTTGACAACTTATTAATTTGGAGTTTAAAATATCCGAGTATTCGCGCGTTCGGTAAACTTTTACCGTTTACCGCACTTGTTGCATAATATACTATTTATTATTAAACCCATAAAATAAATCCAAGACTCTTTAGAGCCTTTTGAACAATGTTTTCTACGTGCATTTCAAAAAGAATCTCCGAATCCAATGCAATACCCAGGTGCTTTACAGAGTCCGAAAAGTTCAGTTTGTAGTTACCTAGATAGAGATCACTTTTTATTTGCAATTGTGGTAATTTTTTTGTAAACAGAACACAGTGACATTTCTCAGGGTTAATAAACAATCTGTCCAGAGAATAACATTCTTCAAAATTTGACAAATCTCTCTGTAACAATACGTAGTCTGTGGCCGAGTGAACCGATTTTGAAATTTTTAGATCATCTGCGTACAAGAAGTAAAAAAAATAGGTCGATGGCAGTACGCCGGAATCTAGCCGATTATATCAAGAGCACATCTTGGTATCGGAAAATTTGGCACGATTTTCGATTGTACCCATATCAACGAGTCCAAGCGTTACTTCTCAGAGACTTCCGCTTGCATGTTAATTTTTGGCAATGGGTTTTGGACAAAATTGCGCATTACCCCTTGTTTGACCAAGAAATTCTATTTACAGATAAAGCTAACTTT